CTCACTGAGAAGCAAAGTACTTCATTGAAATCAAAGATGGATAGTGGCCGGCAGTAGAATCCACGACGCACGTTTCATCCTAATAGGTACTCGTCAGCTGGATGTACATACATCCCAGAGTTGATGCTCAATCCAGGACTTCAAATGCTATCACCCTATCCACTTAGCTACTGAGTCCAGAAAGACACTAGCCTGTGAAACGGGGTGAAGTTTCAAATCATTTTTCACAGAGAATGATTGAAAATATAATTTCATTGAATGGTTATTTCATGTTGGTTTGGATTAATTCAAAAGAATGCACTCATGACATCGTCAATGACTGAGTCTGAACCCATCAAACCTTCAATGGAGTTTATTACTTCAATCTCATCGATTAGGCAAACAATTGTCAAAAATACTTTAACTAACTTATAACACAGAGTGATAATACTAGATCAATTTCACTGGTTAGTTTCTATTACACCCCTTAACCTTTTAATTCACATCATAATCATTGTCTAATACTCTCATTTTGATTCTTCTTTGAGTGACTTAAGTCAATGATTATGATTATCTTCGAATGACATGAAATCTATCCATGTATGATAAGGATCACTTCTCTGATTCATATTCAATGCGAACTTTTATACTTTCATCATTGAATGTACCTTGTTTAAGAAATGCAAGTTTGTATAATTTATGCTAATGACATGTAAATTATTTGAAAGAAAGTATGAATTAACAATGGTATGAACTGAAAACATTTATCAAAGAAATGTTAATAATGTAAAAGGATAGGATATAAACAAAATACATAATCAAAGGTAACATGATACTAGAATTCAGCAACAGCGTTTCATGTGAGAAGACAAACCAGCTTCCAAGTGAAGAGGAAATTAGGAAAAGACGTTGGAAGTGAATAGGACATACATTAAGGGAATCACTAATGTGCATTACAAAACAATCCCTAACTTGGAATCCTGAAGGGAAGCGGAAGAGAGGGAGAACAAAGAACACATTACACCGGGAAATAGAAGCGGATATGAAAAGGATGAATAATAACTGGAACGAACTGGAAAGGATTGTCCAGGACGGAGTTGGATGGAGAATGCTGATGGGCGGTCTATGCTCCTCGACGAGGGGTAACAGGCGTAAGTAAAGTAAAGTAAGACTTCAGGAACATTTTTGGAATACACGGTGTAATAGTCATCAGTCTTGTCAGAATAGTACTTTTTATCAATATGTATTATGTTGTAGTGCCGTGCTTCGTTAATCGATCACCTTGATAACTGTTATAATGTCAGTCTTAAGGGTGCATAAAAATCAGTAGGCAAAAAGAATCGGCAGCTACAGTTTTATTGTCAAATGACGTAGGCCAGAAAGTTATAAGCACATAGGTAAATATCAGTGAGCGAAATAAAAATGACACGTATTGAAGATGGCTGGTAAGCCAACTCAATTTAATCAATATTTCTAGTCAGACAAAAGTAAATGACAGGCATGAGATAAATAGGATAAGAAGGGTACACACACCCAATGCTCATATAAAAAATGGTCAGGATTAATAAGTGAATAACTGACAAGGTGAAAACATGACTCAAGATGGATAGGTGAATTGACTTGTCCAGGAGATAGAATAAGGCATATGGGTTTAACATAGCAGCCGATACTACAATATGAAGAGCATACAGTTAGTTAAAAGGGGGTAGATTTAAGAAATGAAAGCAATTGATTATGGATCAAGTTTTTATTTTAGATCATGGCGTTTTAAGCGGAATTAAAGTATTTTGGCTTTCTAAATCAATATTTGTATTTTCCATAGTTTAGATCACAAATTTATCTTAGCTAGAGTACCACTGGAAAATTGGAAGTACTGAACAACCGTTTCATCCTAGTATGAGACAGAAAATTATTGGTTTCCTCATGATTCATTTGATTCAATGTCAATAAGCAAAGTTGGTATTTTGCTGTCAGAGTAGGTCAGTTGATGCACAACTTGATATGTCCTTTTGATTGAACGCTATACTCGGATCCTAAGCTAGTTTTGTACCCCCAAGCTAGAACTACACAGCGACTTGAACACGAGAGAAAAAACACAAAATATGCGGGAAGCACTTTACTCCAAAGGTTCATTTATGTACAGAAAATATAGGATTTTTATAGTATTTAGGGAAGTCCTTGGGTTTTCCTGAAAATTCTAGAATACTACTAAACATAGTAGCAGTGTATTAATCAGCCAGTCAGAACCTCTACAGGTGACTTTTCATTTTCGCGATGTTTCTAGCATAACTTCTAATCAAACGTTGATTGGATAAAATGCTTCCTAATGTTTCCTGAGCTTGTCATGTCTATTGCGAGAAATTTGCAGGATCATCCCAACACAAATAATGACTTACATCACGGATTAACGAATTCTATTAATCTAGATAGATCGTTGAGCAGTAGTAGTAGTAGTAGTAGTAATAGTAGTAGTTTTAAATAAAAAATCTTCCACGTAAATCTGTAATGTGTTCAACTATAAATTATGTTGAGGATCTTTGAAAGGCTAAATTATCAAATGATTTATTTCACTATTAGTATTTATTTGAGGTGATTGAATCGGTTCTTCTTAATTATAGCTGTTATATCTTGAAGTGAATTGTGAATGGTAACTTTTGAGAACAAATTATGGACAAATAGGACGCGTATATTTCATATTGTGTAATTGTCAAGTACCTAAACTAATTATATTCATGTCCCCCTTATTATAAGCTTTATTTTGACCCATAAACTATTACTGTACGCTTTACCATTCCTGATTACAGTCTCTCACATTCACAGCTACTTTTGACTAGATATTGTACAAATGTTATTTTCTATTCTATGGTACGATGTGATCCGTTTAGTTTGTATATAAGCCCAGCATGTTTGAAATACATGATTCATATGGCAGAGGCTGAGATTGGTGTTCTGGACTTAACAGGCAGGGATAGGCAGATAGCAGGACCGACAAGTTTTCTGGACTGCTTGTACGGGTTTCGTGTATCATTAGTCCGATTGATAATTCACTGCTTTCCGATTGGCCGCATCATCACTTCATACATAAAACAGGGCATCCACTCGGCCACAAGTTATAACAGTAGCCTAAATACTAAATCGAATTCTAAAATTTTATATTTAACCTGATTTTAAGCGTTCAACAGTACCTACAATGTGTCATTTGGAAACAATACTGTATGCTTTTGATATTTAAACCTCATTTTGAATCGATTTGAAGAGAGATTAGAGCTAATAAAACAGCCTAGTGTTTTTACTTAATGCTCAAACTGACTAAAATGAATGAATGCGTCATGTAACTTGAAAGTTCGATCAATCTTGATTATTGACGATAGAAAAAGGACTCTTGGTTTTCAGAAGGGATTTTGTGGAGATTTAGTATTTTCAAAGTTGAAAGCGTGAATCAATTGAACCTAGACCACCATCGAAAACCTTGAAGCACTGGACAGCCGTTTCTTGACATTGTGGGACTCCTAAGAAGCGCGCACCCGCGATCCCACCTCGCAAGCGAGATTCGAATCCATGACCTACTAGTCACGCGTCAGAGCATTTAACCGGTCGACCACTGAGCCGTCATCCAACGATGTTAATGTCTAACTTCAACCAATCCACGAAGTTGAGTAACCATTCACCAATTGTCTTCAGTGATTTGATATCTCACAACAGACGTGGTTTGAACTCCCCTGGTCACTGCTTCTCACTAGAAATCGTGGATTTACTTCTCGAAGTCAGTCACTAGTGAACATATGATTATTATCAGAAGGGGTTTTAAGGAGATTTAGTGTTTCCATAGTTGAAAGCGTGAGTCAATTGAAGCTAGAGTGCGGGATCGTGGATGCGTAATGCTGAGGAGTCCCACAATAAGACGAAATGGTTGTCCAGTGCTTTCAGGTTTTCAATGGTGGTCTAGCTTCAATTGCCTCACGCTTTCAACTCTTGGTTTTCATCGACTTTAACTCAGAAGAGTTATTTCTCTATCTATCGGAGAGTAAAGAGCACTATATGTCAGTTTACTTTTTATTGCTTAAACACCAAAAGAACATGGAAGCACTGGACAGCCGTTTCGTCCTATTGTGGGACCCCTCAGAAGTGCGCATTCACGATCCAGCCTCGCGAGATTAGAACCCAGGACCTATCACTCTCACGAGCGAACACTTAATCTCTAGACCACTGAACTGGCATCCAACAGTGTTAATGTCTAACTTCAACCTTTACACAAAATTGAGCAACCGTCCACCATTGTGTTCAGTGAGCTACTATCTCACAACAGACTCGGTTGAACTCCATTGGTCACTGTTTCTCACTAGAACTCCAGGAAATGCCTCTTAAAGCCAGTCAATAGTGAGCATATGATTATTATCAGAAGGGGTTTTCGTGGATGATCTCAACTAATAAAATTACTATAATATCCACAAAAACCTTTTCCGATACCATGAGAACATATACAAATACACATTAATTCTAGTGTTAATATAGAACTTGAAGCTACAACCTAATAATTTTTGACTCAATAAAATAAGAATTCACCGTTAGACTACTCTATCAGTATAGATATTAAGTTGTTTAATGTGGTAAAGCTTCGAAATTGACTAAAACTACAACCCGAATTTCGATTCTTATAACTAAAGAAAATGATGCTATATCGAGGCTATATTGAGGCAATATGCACAGTATGCACATATGCCAATAAGAGACTGACCTATTGCAGTTCTATCACATCAATAGGAAGATTAAAACAAACAATACTAAATGAATTCAAACTTTACCCCATTGCACAAACAAGTAGCTATCAGGATTCAGTAGTTGAGTATATAACACGATAGCATTTGGAGCGAACAGTACTGAGTTCGAGTCATAGAGTGAACATCAACTCTGAGATGCAGTTACATTCAAATGACGAGTTCCAAATAGGACGACGAAACGTACGTCCTGGATTCCACTGCTAACCACTATCCATCATCTTGTTTATAAACATAAGATCATTATGATAAATTCAATCTATATTTTTGTTATTTTAGTAAACAATGAAATCGCTACTTAATTAGTTAATTTTCATGATTGTAATTTGGTTAATATATTTACAAGTATATTGGCATCATTCTGTAAATTATTTAATTCATTATTCATATTCAATACCATATTACGCCAATAAATTGCTTCAAGATTTGTATAATAATTATGATTAGTATCCATTTCATTCATGTAGTCTCTATATAGAAAAAAATAAAAAAAGCAAGACTATAGGTAGTATGTATACATATAAATAGATTCACTGAATCTAACTATTCTATAATTAGAACATGTATTTTATTCTATTTAGGATTTATCATTTGATGATACAGTAAATCATAGTGTTGTTGTTTATATTGAAACAGGGACACAACACTTATCTTGACCCTTAAATGCCCTGGTACGGCTGAGAGCAGGGAGAGTCCGCTCTCCCTTTCGAAATACTTTCATATGGCCACGTGTATATAGCCTCTTCCAGGGAAGCCTGTATTCGTTTATTCGTATATTCGCCTTCTCATGGTAGGGGTGTTATTTACGAAATTGAGATGACGAAAAGCGAATATTCGGCGCCCCAACCGGGTTGGTGGACACGGAAAGTCCACTTAGGGGAGTTGGAAAACCCTGATTCCAAACCATTGGTGCACATGAACTCCAGTATCTTCAGGGAACAAATGACGTATGAATCAATCGTTGGTCACCGGCTACCATAGGACTGCATCTCCTTACGATGGATCCACTGTCTTGTTGATCAGACCTTTAGGTCAAAGGCTCCGGGTGCGGCCCCCTAAGAAAACCACCTGTTTCGCTCTGGGCACCTGGGCAGTATCACATCTCTCATACAAACCAAATGAGATTTGTGCGGCACATATATATCTGGTGCCTCCTTTGTACCGATATTTGTGAATTTAAATAAATAAATAAATAAAATAAAACTTATCTCTATAGAAAAGCAAATGGTTAATTATCAAGCTGTTGATTCTCTGTGTCCACATACATGTTAAACATGTATGAAGTTTGATTTAAATACATGACATAAACTTTTAACAAATAAGTAATATCAAGGTGTTTCAAGTGGTTGGAGGTAGAAGAAAAACCTGTTTGAACCACGTTTTAAGTTAGCATTGGTTATTAAGTTATATCTACATTCTTGAGAGGATTGTTATTCCTATATGCAAAGCACAGATGCCAATGAAGACCTATCCCATATTCAGTTCTAAATGTGAACAACACAATAATACGAACTCGTATAAATAAATGTTGATCTGTTCGATGAATAATACTGGTGGATGGCCTATGCTCCTCGACGAGAGGTAACAATCGTAAGTAAGAATCCTACATTTTGGGAAACTTCACTTTCAGTGACTAATTAATTAAAAAAAGCTTTGTCATTTTTGGCTCTTAATATGAATAACTTGACAGCTCTAACTGGTCAGTAAATCTTGTATTAATAAAAGGTACTTTTTACTAGTCGAAGTTTTAAGTATCCTGTTGTTTATATTCAGGAAAATATTTCTACCTAACCTTTTCTGGTAAATATGTAACGTGAGTAGATTTCACTATTAGCCACAATCTATCGATTCTAAAAAAAGAACTTATGACAAAATGGCCATTTTAAAACAATCTAACAAAGGATGAGCTCGCCCTAATAAACATGAGTAAAAGAACTCAGTTTTGATTATCAACGATGGAACAATACAAATATATTCAAAGAATCTCATGACGAGGGGTCGTGGATGAGCACTGCTGAGAAGTCCCACAATAGGACGAAAAGGCCGCCCAGTGCTTCCAGGTTTTCGATGGTGGTCTAGCTTCAATTGACTCATGCTTTTAACCATGAAAATTAAAACTCTTTCTTAACAACCAGGAAACGAAGGGTTTTTTTGGAAAACAACGTAATGCAATACTAATGTTAAACACACACACACATAGAAATGGGATGAACATACATCCCTAGTCTTAACTCACTCAATATTAGAATCATCTTCGATTTGTAATAATGAAGAAGGAATGTTTTCATTTGTATATTGGCTTGTATTCAAATGATAATCACATTTATTCCCGTCGTGCAAACGATGGTGAAGATCATGATAATGTTTATTTTGATTAGCCATGACTTTCTTGAGTCGATTTAATTCTGTTTGTCTGGATACAATGGTATCCATTTGATTTCTAACTTGTCTCTAAAATGTATTGAATAAAACGTAAGAATTACCTTTTTAATATATTGGGTGGTTGGAGTTAGTCAGTAGGAAAAATCTACTTCACTTGTAAGTTGGAACTCGTAAACATGATATTACTTGCAATTTAAAAGAAATTGCTACTTACAGTGAGATTCGAATCCAGTTTCGAAGGTTAAGTGACACCCTACCACTGAGCTATTTGAATCTTGACTAGTTTTACGAGGACTGAGATGATGATCAATTAGTTGTAAATGTGTGATTGTTATGTTGCGATAAGAATAATGAATGGTAACTTTGGGATCCATTCATGGATCAATACTATGCATATATTTTTTATCGTATAATGGCTAAGTAACTAAACTATCCATATTCATGTCCCCCTTATTATAAGCTTAATTTTGACCTATGATCTATTGTCATGCGATTTACGGTTCTAGAATTATGCCCTACCTACCACTTACTATCTTTCTTGTTCACAGCCACATATAGCTGAATCTTGTACAAATGTTATTTTCTATTTTATGGTACGATGTGGTCTGGTTTGGTCTGTATGTATGTCTGAGATATATGATTCATATCGCAGAGGCTGTTGTCGGTGTTCTGAACTTAACTGGCTGGGCTAGGCAGATAGCAGGACCGACAAGTAGTCTAGACTGCTCGTTCGGGTTTCGTGTGTCATTGGTCCGATCGATAATTCACTGTTCTATAATTGGGGACATCGTCTCATCTTATATTTATTATTATTATTAGCTTTATTCAATATTATGCTTTTGGTACAATATAGAATTCTCAGCACAAAGTATTTCAACAAGTTTCCGTTTCTTACTTCTTCGTCCTTCCTGACGATGAATATTGAGTGATCGCCAATTAGAACTTAGCAGCCCAGTCAATCGACATCTGGATAATGTACATTCTTCTCGCTGCATATTGCCAGCAACCACGATATCTCTGATTAAGCCTTCTGTAACCTTTACAGAGAAAGGTCTTACACTTTTCAGAAACGCACCTGAATAGGTTGTGCGATTAATAGGCATAATGTTGTATTAAAACGAACGAAATTAGATAACTTGTTGAAATATCTAGATGACAGGAACAGGTAGCCTGGATGTTTAAACAGTCCGTTAATGGAACGTATCGGGACACAAACTCATCAGATATAACATTTAGTCAAAGATAGTTTATATACAATAGTCAATTTGAATTGTAATGACCAAACTCTGCACCATATACAGGTATTATTTGAAAATCTTTGTGGTAGCTCTAATCTACTTGGACCGCCAGTATTAAGTAAACTGTCTGTTGGTCTCAGGCATACTGATAGATGGAGACTATCTGGTTGGAGTTTGTGAGATTAACGTGATCAGTGAATAAAAATCGTTCAGGATCGGTCACAATAGGGCAGAAGCATTCATCCTCTATCTTATTCAGAATACTAAGTCTTAGTATTCATTCATAGGTAATTTTTTATTTTGATTTTTCGAACCAGAGCTTAGTCAATCTTATTTATGTCACATCATTTCTGTTCGTTTCATACTCATCTTGACAATTTAAACTTATTATGTTAATATATGGATCAACACACGTTGGTGCCAGGATCTATGTTGATCATGACTGACTGACTGGCTGCACAAAATCTGAGACAGTTTTACAAAAATTTTCAGTGTTAATGACGAATTTCTTATTTCGAAATTCAATGCCTTTCGGTAACGAAACATGCCCGTCTGACGAAGATCATATTCATTTCAGATTTTCTGCAGAAATTGAAAAAAACGTTCCGTTAATACTGTTAGACTAATCCGTACAACTTATGAGGGAATTAACCTAATATAACCGAAAAAACGAGTTCACAGAACAACGTTCTGAGTACCATGAATAATAGATATCTGGTTCTGTTTATGCATGTGTACACCAAAAATGCCTGGGGTAGAGTATAACACTGAAGAGCAATTTAGTAAAAATCAAACTGAATGCAGTTACTATCAATGTACCCCTTGAATTCAGATGTCATTGGTACAACAACTATGATGTTTATGTGTTTCTGAACACCCCCTACACAAGGAATTCAGCAAACGTATCAATAAAAAAATATTCAAATCTCAAATATTGGAATGTATGATGTGTACAGTGACTGCACGTCGACTGCCCCGACGAGCAATGTTTTATGGTGTAGGCGTAGGTTGGAAGAAAGCTAGGAGCGGCCAAAACAAAACGTGGCACAAATCCATGAAGTCACTGACAAGTGGACTGAGCCATGTTGGTAGGTGTAGACTACCTGGTTGAGACTCGCGAGATGATAGCAACCGATGGTTAGAGACCTTGAATGACATGGTTCAAAATCGTTTGCAACGGCGAAGGTGCATCCACTCTTTGTGTTCTACCAAATTCTAATCTGAATTCTTCATGTCCGTATCCTTTTTCTCTTTTCAAATTTATTTCATTGGATTACACCCCTTCAATAACATCTTCAAACCGTAATCTTTCACATAATGCTTATACTCTCACTACTTCTACCACTATGGGATTTGAATCGACAACTGCCTCTCTGTGTTAATGTGGTATGGCAACTGGAACTGATGTACGTAAGTACAAAGTTGTACGTTGTGACTGACTGACAGTGACTGTAACAAGGCTATTATTATTAATGATTACTATTATTATTAGTTGAAGTAGTAAAACCAGTAGATTTGGGATTCTCACGTGATCAAGACTTTTCCTGAAAGAAACCGGGGCTAATATGACAAGATCGTTGAGGTTCTCTGAAACAATATGGAGAGTTAACTGGCATTAATTATAGACAATAACAATACTAATCAATAAATAAATGAAATATCAGACCTCCAGAACATTGATATATGAATCATCAGTATTATGATCAGTACTTTCAATAAAATCAGTGTTTGTGGATGCATCACAAGTTACACCAGATTTCACTGATTCCTGTGATTTTTCCTTCTCAGTTTCAAGTTTAGTTATACGACTCTAAAGGAGAAAAAAAACATAGAAAATTATTATTATTGTTATTTATTATTTAAACACATAAATATTGGTACAAGGAAGCACCAGATACATATGCGCCACACAAATCTCATTTGATTTATGTGAGCGCTGTGATGCTGCCCATGTGCCAAACTGAAGCAGGTGGTTTACATAGGTGGCCACACATGGAGCTTTTGACCTTAAGGTCTGATCCACAAGAGAGTGGAACAACATCAGGAGGTGCAGTCTCTTGGTGGCTGGTGACCAACGATTGGTTCAAACGCAATTTGTTCCCTCAGGATACTGTAGCCCATGTGCACCATTGGTTTTGAATCAGGGTCTTCCAACTCCCCTACGTGGACTTTCCGTGTCCACTAACCCGGTTAAAATGCTGGATGTTCGCTTTTCGTCCTCTCAAGTTTGTAAGTTGGTAGAATGATAGAAGTGATCATACGCAGTTGTGACACCCGTCTATAAAGTCATTGACTGTTGGTCTGGAGCATACTGGTAAGTGAAGATCACTATGGATGGGATCTCCGTGATTACCATGTATCTGCAATGCCACCAATATGTTAAATAAATTAAGCGGATGTATATATACAACAGAAACTTACCTGTGACAAGTTTTCCACTGCAATATGTTTTTTCAAACTAATTGGCACTTTATCGTTGATGGATACATCTTCATCACTTTTCTCTTTTGAACTGATTTTCTTAAAGAGTAAATATCAAGAAGTAATGTAAAAGAGAATTTCAATCACGAATATCACAATTATTCCATGAACTGTATATTTAAAAATAAGGAATCGCTGATAAAAGAAGCAAATGGAATATTCTAACTAAATTACTACACTCTGACCAATTATGATGACAAACAGTCATCTTTATGATTAATGTAAGGAAACCATACAATTTTCGAGCAGTGAAGTACAATCGTAAACCTCACTACACTCACTTTGGTTTCACCACCAGGATCACAAAACTAATTTTAGCTCTAAACTCTGGTGTACTAGCATGTACATAGTTGTTGAGTCTAACGAACGCGACAGTTGGTACGTAGCTATCTGAAACATGTACAGGGTATTATTCCATTTGTTGAATAGGCTTTTTCAAGATAAAACATATATTTCATCATAGTAAGTGATTTTGATTAAAACATTACTATCTTACTACTTAATTGAATCATTCCATTGGTCTGAAATTAATAAACGTCTGTAAAAATCTTATTCTATTTAAAATTAAATTTCAACTAATTGAGTGTTCAATAGTGACCAATTTTATATTTTCATAATAAGGTTTGTGGAGACTGTAGTAATTTTAATAGTTGAATTCATGAGTCGATCTAAGCAAGACAACTATTGAAAACCTGGAAGCATTAGATGGTCGTTTTATCCTAGTGTAAGACTCCTTGGCAGTGCGTATCCACGATCCCACACCAAAGAAACTCGGACCCAGTATCACGCCTGAACGCTTAACCTCTAGACTACTGAGCCAACATCGAACGGTGTTAATGTCTATCTTCAATCAATCCATGATCTTGCTCAACCCTTCATCTATTTTTCGCGGTGGATTATTACCAGAATGGGAGTTTGTGGAGATTATAGTAATTTTAATTGTTGAATTTTATATTTGTCTAATCGTTTAGTACTGATCAGGTTCTGTCGATCATCTTACATTACAGCAACTCATATAAGTAACTTGACATCATACTCAATATAGATACATAGATACTGTTTCACATAAAAAGATTTATTTATTTATTCAAACACATAACCATGGATACAAAGAGGCACCAAATATATACGCGCCACACAAATCATTCGATTGTGTGTGACGGCTGAACGCTCAAACCGAAGCGGGCGGTTTTCTTAGTGAACCATTCCCTGAGCCTTCGACCTAAAGGTCTAATCCACAAGGCAGTGAAGCTATGATAAGAGTTACATTCCCATACCAGACGGTGACCAACAATTGGTTCATACGCCATTTGTCCCCTCAGGATATTGGAACCCATGTACACCATTAGTTTGAAATCAGGATTTTCCGAATTCCCTAGGTAGGTTCTCCATATCCACCAACCCGGTTAAAGAGTCGGACATTCGCTTTTCATCCTCTCAATTTCGTGAATGCTCCCCCCCCCCACAGCAAGAAGGCAGTGAATAAGACTTCCCTAACAGTGTGGTGTTCGCTACTCATGTTCACATAAGTAGTATATGGTGATGGTCGGACATAGAATGTATTTTGGCAGAAGAACAATAAGGAAAGAACTGAAATGAAGCGCAGTTGGTAGGAAAATACATAAACAATGAGACTAGAGAAGATGGATTGATATTTACAGAAGGAACAGTGAAGATTGAGACAATTGATTGTTATTTTGCAAATTAACTGTTTATTGTATGGTTATCAGATCTTAGTAAGATATGGTAAGCAAAGATGGATAGTGTCTAGCAGTGGAATCCGTGACGCGCGTTTCGTCCTATTTGGGACTCGTCCATCTTTGCTTACCATGTTTGTGAATTAAGGCTATATCGAAGCAATACGCATAGTATGCACATATTCCAATTAGAGACTGACCAGTTGCAGTCCTAACACATCGATGGGAAGATTCAAACAAACAATACTAAATGAATTTTTCTTAGGAAGATAGTTTGTAATTTGTGCTTAAATACATTCGATTATCCCCGACCGGTGTTCTGTTCACTACAACAATAGCTGTATACATGTGATCATGTAAGAGCATTTCGATAGGGAAAGCTGATTCTTCCCACCCTCGACCATACCAAAACATTAAAAGAACCACCTAATCAATGGAATTATAGGACGACTATAAGCACCTGAATGTATAACTATTATCTATTTCTTTTTCACAAAATGAGTTGATAACTGATAGTTTATCAATGTATTGAATTACTCTATCTTGTAATAGATATATGTACACATACACACTCATTTAATGTTATCATATTCTTGCTACATATTACTTACTACTTAAAAAAACAAAAAAAATTAAACAACTACCCATTTCAATAAGTAATAACAATCCCTTAGAAACAAACAAACAAAAACAAAAAAACACACAAAAAAGAGGGGAGGGGAGGGGTAAACAACTTACATTTTTCAAATTTATTTTATCATTAATCCTATTGATTTGTCTTGATTGAATTTCATGAAGATGTGGATAATAATTTTTTTTATTTTTATATTTTGTAGATTTTAATTTATTTTTTATTATCATATTTAAATTATTATTATTATTGTTACTAACATAGTTACTATTTAATTGTGTAAAATGTTTTAATTCATCAATAATTTTTTGTCTTTCATTTAATTGTATTTTTAAATTTATAATTTGACCGCGTAAATTATGAAATAAATTTGAAATTATAATTGATTGATTTGAATTGATTGATTGTTTTATTGATTGATTTGACGGTTTTATTGATTGATTTTCAATATTATTTAAATCAATCGATTTTAAATTATCAATTTCTTGTAAAGTTGAATTCATTTGATTAGGAATACAATATGAATTGATATAGGATTCTAAGGATTGGATACGATCTTCATACTGTGAATATATTTGTATAAAAGAAATAAGTATAGATTGTTAGAGTTAAAATGATATATCGGTAGGAATTAACATCAAAATAACAGAAGCTAGACCATTATGGAAAATCTGAGAGCACTAGACGGCCGTTTCGTCCTATTGTGAGACTTCTCAGCAGTGCGCATCCACGATCCCGCCTAGTGAGAATAGAACCCAGCACCTACTAGTCTCTCACGTGACCGCCTAACCCCTAGACCACTGAGCAGGCATCTAATGGTGTTGTCTAACTTCAACCTATCCACGAAATTAAGCAACCATTCACCAATTGTCTTCATTGAGTTGATATCTCTCAACAGACCTGATTGAACTCTACTGGCCACTCAGGGCTTTCAGATTTTCCATGGTGGTATTGCTTTAATTGACTTATGATTTCAACTATATAAAATTACTAAAATCTCTACAAAACCCCCTTCTTTTACCTTAGGTATATATGATCATCAAGGAGTTACATATTTGATTAGTCAATCATGGACTTATAAAAAGCCTCTAATATTGCGTTAATTTATACTGAGGTAGTTGAAATATGTTATATTAACGTTTATTGTACGTGTTATATTTTCTTTTAAATCAATCTAACCAAGAGCTTATGTCCCGATTTCAATAATCTACAATCAATTATGTTTGGAAAGAATTTTGTATTAAATCGGAATACAAAAAAAGAGGTAAAATATTGTCTGTTGTTCCTTTTATTATTTTCTATTCATTCTGTTATTTAGAAAGTAAAGAAAGGATATTGAGTAGATAGGATGATTATTTATAGGCAATCAGTTAGTATATTATCTAAGTAATTTATTGGGATGTTAGTTTATAGTCTTTTATAGTGTTCCAAATACAAGCTGTAGTGTCGGTTACTCACTTACTTACACTTGTTACCCCTCATAGAGGAGCGTAGGCCGACCAACAGCATTCTCCATCCAACTCTGTCATGGGCAATCCATTCCAGTTCTTTCTAGTTGTTAATCATCCTTTCCATATCTGTTTGTATTTCCACGTGTAATGTGTTCTTTGGCTTACCACTTTTCTGCTTCCCTTCAGGATTCCAAGTTAGGGATTGCCTTGTGATGCAGATTGGTGGTTTCCTCAATATATGTCCTCTCCCATAAAACGCTGTTGCTGATAGTATCCAGCCAGTGAATATTGAGTATTTCGCGTAAACAACTGTTTATAAATACTTGTAAGATCTTGACGATAGATTTTGTAGTTCTCCACGTTTCAGCTTCGTACAGTAAGATTATCTTGATGTTCGTATTGAAGATTCTCACTTTGAAGTTAGTTGATAGTTGTGTAGTGTCGGTTGCCATGTTATAAATCCATATAGGTTGTTCTAGTTTCCTAATTGGCCAATTTATTCATTCTTCTTGAGTCACATTTTGACCTTGTTAATTATTCGTTTATCAACCTTCACTGTTTTTATATGAGCATATGAGTGTACATTTATTCTATTCATCACATGTATATGGCTTACTTTTGTGTGACTATAAGTATCGATTCAGGCTTGGCTAAATTGAGTTGGCTTACTAGCCTTCTCCATCGTGCGTCTTTTTGTATTACTTCACTTTCCGATCAACGGTTGTACGAAATATAGGTATTCGAAAATCCATCCTAATATTTGACTTATTTAATTTCGTTATTCACCAACGTCATTTAAGTCGATGGTTTTGTGCGACTATTGGTGATATGTTTATTTCGATAGCAATCAGAAAATGATCTACCTAGAGTCAGATATGGGGCCAGTAAAAAGCGATCATTACACTTATTAATTGTTATAATATCATTTGTCATTCACAAATTAAAGTTAATTAACCGTAAGAACTTTACTAAGAGCTTTGTATTATCGATAAAATAACGGAATATTTATTGAGTCATACCATTTATGGTACTATATCATCTTGTCGTTTGTGCATATATATTCATGTAGATATCAAAGAGAATGCAAAGTACACATGTTATTTGGATACCTTTCCTGGTATTGTGAAGTAAACAGTGTTCCTTTAACTTTTGAGAAATGTCGGATTAACTTAAATATGATACCCATAACTTATTTATTTATTTAAAATCATAAACATTGGTACGAGAGAGCACCAAATAGATATGCGCTGCACAAATTATTCGATTTGTGTGAGAGTTAGAATACTTCCAGGGTTTTTATATGAGCATATGAGTGTACATTTATTCTATTCATCACATGTATATGGCTTACTTTTGTGTGACTATAAGTATTCCCGAATCGAAGCAGGTGGTTTTCTTAAGGTGTCACACCCAGAGCCTTCAACGTAAAGGTGTAATCCACAAGGCAGTGTAGCAATGATAAGAGTTACATTCCCATACCAGACGGTGACCAACAATTGGTTCATACGCCATTTGTCCCCTCAGGATCCTGGAGTTCATATGCACCATTAGTTTGAAATCAGGATTTTCCGAATTACCTAGGTTGATCCACCATATCCACCAACCCGGTTGAAGAGTCAGACATTCGCTTTTTCATTCTCTCAACTTCATAAACAACACCTCTGCCACGAGAAGTCAATGAGTGGGATTTCCATGATCGTGGTTGTATACGCATGGTCATATGAGAGCAATTCAAGATTGAGAGCTGTTTTTCCTCACTCTCGGATGTACCAGGGCATTTAAGGCATGATGGCTATTTATTCCTATCTGTTATTAAATGGTTTAATATGAAAACCATCATGAATATTTCTTTTCCTGAAATCAGTATTTTATTTTAGAAAAAACTAAACTTTAAATTTTACAGAAATACTTCAATGGTAATTAGTTTTTTTGTTATTGTCTTAAGAATGGTCCGATTGAAAATGAAGAAGTAAATTCTCCTTGAACTTTTGACCGTGAAAAACAAATCGGGTTTCCAAAAAAAGTACCAATATTTATTAGTTGTCAACGCTAACGATTGTTCCCATATCCAATAAAAAGAAATCAAATCAGACATAGGCTTTATCGAATCATTAAAAAAAATACTTTCTCCCCCTTCCTCTTTCTTCTGGTGATTGACTGGATTATGAAAACCTCGACATCTGACGGGAAGCACGAAATACAATGGACATCTCAGAATCAATTAAGTGATTTGGACTTCGCAGATGACCTAGCCCTCCTCTCTCATACACACGAACAAATGCAGACGAAAACAACAAATGTAGCAGCAGCCTCTGCATCAATAGGCCTCAACATACACAAAGGAAAAAGCAAGATTCTCAAATACAACACGCGGAACACCAAACCAATCAAACTTGATGGCGAAACCCTGGAAGAGGTGAAAACATTCACGTACCTGGGAAGCATCGTTGATAAACAAGGAGGATTGGATGCAGATGTAAAGATGAGGATTGGCAAAGCAAGGGAAGCATTTCTACAATTGAAGAACATATAGAACTAAAAACAACTGTCAACTGATTTCAAAGTGAGAGTCTTCAATACGAACGTCAAGACAGTCCTACTGTATGGAGATGAAACGTGGAAAATTACCACAACCATCATCAAGAAGGTACAAGTATTTATAAACAGTTGTCTTCGTAAAATACTCAACATCCACTGGTCGGTTACTATCAGCAACAGCGTTTTATGGGAGAGGAAAAAGTAGCTTACAGCTGAAGAAGAAATTAGGAAAAGATGTTAGAAGTTGATAAGGCATACATTGAGGAAATCATCAATGTGCATTACAAGACAATCGCTAACCAACTTCCAGCTGAAAAGGAAATTAGGAAAAGACGTTGAAAGTGGATAGGACATACATTAAGAAAATCACTAATGTTCATTACAAGGTAATTCCTAACTTGGAATCCAGAAGGGAAGCGTAAAAGAGGAAGGCCAAAGAACACATAACGTCGGGAAATAGAAGCAGATATGGAAAGGATGAATGTTAACTGGAAAGAACTGGAAAGGAAGGCTCAGGACAGAGTTGGATGTAGAATGCTGGTGGTCGGCCTATGCTTCTCCACAAGGGGTAACAGGTGTAACTAAATTCTATTAATTTGAAAAAAAGTAATTCACTACTACTAATTTCGATAATTGAGTAGTAGTGATAAATCATTATGAATATGTCATTCCTATAATTGACCAACTCACACTTCCACAGCGTAGTGAAAGCGCTTCAGACGGTAAAATTAAGTAATTCTGATCTGGATCCCAATGAAATCATCAGATTCTTCATGATTCCATATAAGTCTTGCTGATGACCTCCGAAAATTATGAAACCTAGATGAGGTAATGCTTCTTGCCATCAACCTTGAACCATTTAATTTCAGTGAATCTTGAACATTAAATCAATGTAACATTTTAATAAAACTGAATAACACTACTAAATCAGTACTTTTATGTAATTAATAATTACCTGTAATTTAACTCGTTCATATTGTTGTTGAAGTGCACGAATAGCTCGTTTCTCATTTTCATGAGCTCTATCTAATTCTGACTCAAGAAATTTAATTCTTTCAAGAAGAAATACTTGTTGGTCTCCGTTTGATGAATCCTTGAATTATTTAAAATAAAATCAGGAATAAAGAAAAATAAAGGTAACATTTAAATATATCATTATAGGATAATAGTCGCATAACCTATTCAAGTGCGTTTTGGAAAAGTGTACAACCTTTCTCTGTACAAGTTACAAAAGGCTCAATCAAAGATATTGTGGTTGTTGATGTTGAATGACTGGACTGCTAACTTCTAACTAGCGAACACTCAATATTTGTCGTCAGGAACAATCAAGAAATAAGAAAAGGAAACTTGCTGAAATATATTGTGCTGAGAATTCTATATTGAAAATATCAATTACATGTAGCCACCAATGTGCACTGCAAGGCCATCCCTAACTTGGAATCCGGAAGGGAATCGGAAAAGTGGAAGACCAAAGAACACATTACGTTGAGAAATAGAAGCAGATATGAAAAGGATGAATAGCAACTGGAAAGAACTGGAAAGGATTGTCCAGGACAGAGTTGGATGGAGAATGCTTGTGAGCGGCCTATGCTCCTCGGCGAGGGGTAACAGGCGTAAGTAAGTAAGTAGTGATATCTACTAAACTGTGGTATATTAGAAAATATTTGCAGGTCTTTTTTAATAAAAGATTTGTTTATCTTGATGAACCAAATCCGTACTAACGCATGTTATCCCACGTGGAGGAGCATAGGCCGCCCATCAGCATTCTCCATCCAACCCTGTTCTGGGTAATCTATTCCAGTTCTTTCCAGTTGTTATTTATCCTTTTTATGTCTGCATCTATTTCCCGGTGTAATGTGTCCTATGGCCTTCCCCTTTTCCGCTTCCCTTCAGGATTCCAAGTGAGGGCTTGCCTCGTGATGCAGTTTGATGATTTCCTCAATGTATGTCTTATCCACTTCCAACTTCTTTTCCTAATTTCCTCTTCAGCTGGAATTTGGTTTGTTCTCTCCCACAAAAGGCTGTTGCTTATGGTATTCGGTCAGTGAATGCTGAGTATTTTGCTACTTCATCCCGTAGAAAACCAACTCGCTAAAAAAAACGCTAACCAGAACCGAATCCTGATTAAGTAAAATTACAAACTTTAAATGCTCAGTGTCTGATATTTAAATAGTGATTTACTACAAATGTAGAAATCTTCCTGAAGTACGTACAAAATAGGGAAATGAAATGCTTCCTAAATAAGTAACTAAAGACTAGTTTTCTGAAAAGGGATACTTATACAAACATGTTGAGTTTTATTTTAAGATCAAAGTGATATCTCAGTAAATCAAATAGTTTTAGAAAGAGTATCAGTGAAAACAAAACAAACTGAGGCAAAATTGAAATCAGTATAATATTTATTATGATTATGGTCATCGTTACCGCTTTCTCTGGTCAGTATATGTGTCATGTTTAGGGAGTTTTTCATTTATTTAGTGGGTGGGTACAATGTAAATTAGTAAGTAACTTTCACTCAAGATATCATTGAAACCATGATCTGATCTACATTAGACAACCACTGAAATCCCCTAGGCACTAGACGATCGCTTCTATTTAGTCTGAAACTCTTCACCAGTTCAGATTCACGACCACACAAGCAGTAATCGAACCAAAATCTTCGACCTCGCGCAAAGACAAATAACCTATAGACCACTGAGCTGAGATCTAGCACTGGTAATTTTCAACTTGAATCAATCTATGAAGTTAACCGGGCAATGCCGTAGACTAATTGAAGTTGGACAAAGACACTGTTAGATTTCAGCCCAATAGTCCAGAGATTAGGTGACCTTACGCGAGACAGATGATTCTGGATTCGATTAATGTTTGTGTGATCTGGGATGTTGACTGATGAAGGGTCTGAGATTAGATCGAAGCGGTCTACCAGTGCCTAAGGGATTTTAATGGTTGTCTAACTTAGATCAGATCATGGTTACAATGAAATCCAAGTATCTTAAACAACCACATACTGACAATTCATGATTTCGTTTGAAGTCATAACTTTTAGCATCTATAAGGATGATAATTTCAATAATGTTGGGAAATGGCATCAAACGTTTACATTATGAGTTGTTATTTTATGAAGGGTAGAAAGTCATCTAAAATTCGATCATAATCAAAATGTAGTAAATTTGAATGGTACATAAAGTCACCTCAATGGTATTATTAAATTTTAAGTAAACATAACCAAAAGAAGAAACTCTCACAGACTAGATTTCCAACCTATCGGCTCTCATCAATATCATTTGTAATATGGAAGTGATTCATGCCATCTTGAATATCTTCAGTTTCTCCTAACAGTACTGACGATGTTACGTAACGAATATCTGTCACACTGTAAAATAATGGTAAGTAACTTGGCATAGGGGTAAGATCATGTTTTTCACTATAATAATTGAATTTGTAGAAAGTTTATTTGTATGAAATTGGTGATTGATGCATCTCATTTCTTTTTACAAAACAGCTTGGTTTCTATCCAGATATCCAAGTCATTATGTCTTGAAATAAATAACGAAGTCCAATAAGCTAGATTCTCCAAACCATCATGAGTTTAATAGTAGTTGTATTTATATAATGTTGACAAATGAGAGACAACTCGATTATACATTGGGTCTAATATTATTCTACTAATTACTTATCCGTAACAAGATGTTTGAAAGAATGATCACAGTATATATATACAACGGACTGAGTTCCTTGAAGAAATTATAATAAAGCGTAATGGCGGGAGTCAAAGTAAAAAGATAGTATAACATAAGAAAATAAAGCGATGAGTGATGTTTAGGTGTGAATTAATTTGGGAGTGTAGAACTTATGAAATAATAGTAACCATTAAAACAATCATATAATACCGTACATACGTAGTCATTTAATTAGATGTAATTCGTTTGAGTCACATCATCAAAGGAATTAATGCCTCGATATTTTTTGTGAATTAAGGCAATATTGAGGCAATCCATACAGGATACACATATGCCAACAAGAGACTGATCAATTGCAGTTCAAAACATCAATCGGAAGATTTAAGTAAATATTATCAAATGAATTTAAATTTCACCCCATTGCACAAGCAAGTGACTATCAGGACTAAGCAGCTAAGTGGATAATGCGATGGCATTTGGAACAAACAGTACTGGGTCCCATAGTGAACATCAACTCTGGAATGCAGGTATACCCAGCCGATCAGTCCGAAATAGGACGAAACGGGCATCGTGGGTTTCACTGTTAGTCACCAACTATCATTGGTTATAATTCATTTATTAGTGAAGAGGGAAATTCAATGAAATTATCTCGAACGCAATCGAAGGTGAAATAATTAAGGATATATAAAATATAATCTAAGGTGTAAGAAAATTAACAATGTACGGAAAATCTTAGATTATCATAATACTAAATTAAAATTACAATAAAAAATAACAGTAGAATATACGGTGAGATTATAATCTATGGACAACCTTTGAGTAACGCTAAAGTGACCTTGAGATTATCCACCTACTAGCTAGGACTAAATGGTGGTTAAAAACCAGTGTGAGAAATTAGAGTTATGATCTAGTGTTGATGACTGCGGTCAGGAATTCGATTTATAGTGTACATCACGAACCAACATCAGCTAAAATGTCGAAACGTTATTTAAACAAATAGATAAATGAATTTCGTGCCGAAATCCCAGACCTGTTGCCTTATATATCTGATTGGTTCGCCCACAAATTATAGTCCCTCCATAATATATATATATATACCTCATAGATAAACAATGTACTACTTTTAAGGATTGAAAACAGTAATTAAACAAATTCAATAAACAACTTTCAAATCTCTATATGTGAGTTAACTGAGTAAAAGTACAAGATAGAACATGAAACAAACAGAATTGATGACTTTGATTGTTACACTGAAGAAGTTCAGACAAGTTTGTTGGACAAAACGTCGAAATTATTTAAATTTCGATAGTTGAGATTATTTCAAATATAATTTTCAATTGTCAATCCCCTTTCTATTCCCTTTTATGTTTTCTTCAGCTCCATCTTCTTATCCTTTTGTTGCCATGCATTCCACTTCCGACTGGTGTTACATACAAGTTAGGCCTATCGACATAAGTACCATACATCAAAATATCACTGTAATATTGTTGCTTTTGTTTACAATAATTGTTTTCATATTAGCTAACAGTGGTTTAAATTTCATCACAGTTACTTTAAAGATTTCTCAAACTCATCTTTATATCACCTACATATTGATCAATTAGACGATTATGACCACTTAAATCTTTCATGGTTAAATTTCAACCACTTTCCTCATAAACGACACTTAGGGTGGATAGGATGTACATTGTGAAAATCCTAAAACTGCATCACGAAGCAAGTGCTAACTTGGAATCCTGAAGGTTAACGGTAAAGAGGAAGGTCAAAGAACACACTACACCGGAAAATAGAAGCAGATATATAAAGGATGAATAGCAACTAGAAACAACTGGAAAGGATTGTCCTGGATAGTGTTCGATAGAGAATGCTGATGGGCAGCCTATGTTCTTCTATGTGAAGTAACAGATGCAATTAAGTTCCTCATAAATGTATAAATTCAAAAAGAAAGGTTTTCTATGGTGGTCTAGCTTCAATTGACTCATGATTTCAACTATGAAAATACTGAAATATCCACAAAACCTCTTCTGATCTATAATCATATGCTCACTAGTGACTGACTGTAAGGGATATTTCCTTGAGTTCAAGTGGGATGCAGTGATCAGTAGAGTTCAACCAAGTCTGTTGTATAAATATCAACTCACTGAAGACAGTTGGTGAATGGTTGCTTAAACATCGTGAATTGGTTGAAGTTAAACATTAACACCGTTAAATGTCAGCTCAGTGGTCTATCGGTTAAGTGCTCAGGCATGAAAAAGAATTATGTTAAGAATATAAAACATTCTACAGTTATACACTGACAGTTATTTTCCTACCAAATAAAACAAACATTTTTATAATTAACAGAAATGAATCAAAATTTAAAAAAAAATTTCATCCGTTCTTATCATAAGTTTTGTTACTGATGGATTCATACTTTTTTTTTAAAAAAAAAGGGGGAAACAAAATCAGTTACTAGTCAATAGATATAACGTTTTCTTTTTTAATCCCAAAAATTAAATCAGTTAGAAATCGAAGAAAAAGAAAAAAAATAAACAAACATAGTAATCGAAAATTTACAAAAAAAAACAAGAAAAAAGAAAAAAAAATCTAATTGTTCAAGAACTAAAAAGAAAAAAAAGGGGGAGGGAGGAGAAAAGAAAAAAAAAGAAAACTCAATGTTCAATGAATGGATTTGTTGGCAACAAGAAAAAAGAAAAAAACAATGTCACGTTCTTGTTGTTATATTAACAATATACACTTATTAAATAAACAATATTGATCGAAATAGTCAATTTAATTGTTATGTTAAGAATTATTTTTTAATTTCCGGTTCATAATATATGGTATGAAGGATTGAAATAATGATAGTAACTAATTGAAAAGTGAAGATGATTAATAAAACACTTTATTGTGGTTGAGAATAATGAGTAATTGATGGATTTTACTACAGATCTTTCTTTTCGTACTATATTCTTATATGTCCCCAAATGCCCTGGTACGGCCGAGAGTGAGGAGAGTCCAATCTCCCTCTCGAAATGCTCTCACATTGACACGCGTAAATGGTCTCTGCCACGGAAGTCCTACTCACTGCCTTCTTGCACCACGCGTATTGTTTACGAAATTGAGAGGACAAAAAGCGAATGTTTGACGCTTTAACCGAGTTGGTGGACAGGGTGAGTCCACCTAGGGGAGTTGGAAAACTGCTCGCACGGGTTTTATATGCCATTGGTCCGATTGATAATTCATTGTTCTCTAATTGGCGACATCGTCTCCTCATATATTGATTTGGACACAAATCCATAAGATATAACATTTACTCAAAGATAGATTACATACAACAGTTAATTCAGATTACCTCATAATTAGAATGATTACTGATTTATTGAGCCTGAGATTGATCAAAGAACAAAGTTGGATTTAATCTCTAATGAGGTCGTGAATCTGTACTACCGTACAATACTAAGACAAAATAACTGTCAAGAGCTTCTTGGTTCGTGATGAAAACTTTTAAAAAAGAGACTGACTATGGTTCTTTCGAAAAGAGAGTATTGAAAACGTTGTGTAAGATATTCATTTTCTTCTACTTCAAACTGGTAATAAAGTGATAATTTTATTTACTTATTATCATCGGAAGGAGTTTTTATGGAGATTTAGTATTTTCATAGTTGAAAGCGTGAGTCAATTGAAGCTAGACCACCAGGGAAAACCTGCATGCACTGGACGTCTAATTGCCTTCAGTGTGTTATTATATCACAACAGACGTGGTTGAATTCCACTGTTTTATTCAAAATCTATGAAAGAAATTCATTTTGGTAAGTTGTACTTTAAATTCATAGTTAGAAAAAATTTAATCTGACCTACCTTATTGTCATGTGCCTGTTTCGATTCATTTGACTTGGGATCAGAAATCTGTTTACTTTTAAAATATGATAATTCTGCTTGTAATTTTTCTAGTTCTCTAGCCTATACCCATGAAAAATAAGAGGTAAACAATAAAAATTATTGCAAGATAAGTTAATTCATCTTATCATTTTTGACCTCAAACTATTGCTTGAATGGAGATAAATTTTAAACTAGAGTTTATTCTCATCATATTAATTGAAATTATTGCAATATTTAAACAACGCTTGATTAAAAGTAACCAAAAATCCGACCTGAAGCGTCTTCGTGGAGCTGCTAAACAGTAGAGGTAATCCCGCTAGCTAACTAAGCCGGTCTACACAGATAGGACTGATTACCCACTCTGTTTAATCTCTATTCATATAAGGTCCCAATTCAAGGCCCATTCAACCGCATCAGGCCACATGATGTGTATGCTTATGTATAAGAATCGCAGACGTCGTCGGGCCTATATAGTTCATGTGTGTAGGTATACACAAAGGGTGCACATGTAGTGGTGTATACAGGTTCTACTCTATGTCTAATAAAATTAGAGACATAATCTACCAGGTTCATGACATAATAAAAAGATATGATAACAAATACTAGGAAAAGGCAACTGGCATCCCCCTCTGGAAGAACGCTTATGCTCATATGTGTTAGGAAGTACTGGGGTGGTAGCTATGAGCTGAGTGATATGCATGGAATCTGTAAGAGAGAGTCTGGAGTATCAAATACGTTTTCTACCCTCCCGAGTGAGTGAATATACCTGTATGTATGCTACGGGACTAATGGGAGAAAACCTATGTTTCCCGGTGTGCATGTAGCGTATATTTGCTCACAGGTAGGTATACCTGTATGAATACCAAGTAACAGTTAAACAATTACAGTAAAACAATCACTGGTACAATTGGTAATAACAATAATTGTTTCTATTATACCAATCGCGTTCTCGTCGAAAAAAAGCAGTTCACTACACATTAACAGGGCATCCAGGCGGGTACAAGTGATAACAATTGGCGATAGGGATGGGATCAAATCATTTTATTTAAATTCTGAAACTTCCAGTTATCATCATTGTATTGTATTAATCTTAGTATTAAGAGTGATATAAAAGAATGAACATGTTTGATAATTCTTGTTGATTGAACGCTATATTGGAATCCTAAGGTAGTCTCATTAACCCCAAGCTGAATCTACACAGAGACTTAAACACAAGAGAAAAGAAGCAAAATATGCGAGAACCACTTTACTTCAAAGGTATATTTATGTACAGGAAATATGGAGTTTTTATAGTATTTTAGAAATCCTTGGGTTTTCCTGAAAATTCTAGAATACTACTAAACAGTAGTGTAGAAAACAGCCAATCAGAACTTTTACATGTGACTTTTCATTTACGTGATATTTCTAGCAAAACTTCTAATCAAACGCTGATTGGATAAATTGCCTCGTAGTGTTTCCTGAGCATGTCATGTCTGTTGCGAGAAAATTCCAGGATCATCCCAACAATGTTTGTTTTAATGTAAGCAACTCCTAAACATGTCATTAAACCACCACATGTTTACTATAATCCCTTCATATAATCATATAAATACCTTAATAAATTAAATTAGTTCCTCTGACCTGACGGTCTGATTCACGAGGCAGTGGAGAATAGTGAGGAGATGCAGACACATTGTAGCCGGTACCCAGCAATTGGTTCCCTCAGGATACTCGAACCTATGTACACCATTGGTTTGGAATCTATGTTTTCCAACTCACCTAGGTGGATCCTGAGTGTCCACCAACCCGGTTAAAGCGCTAGATATTCGCTTTTCGTCCTCTAAACTTCGTAATCAACACCCTTGACACGAGAAGGCAGTGAGTAGGACTTCCCTGGCAGAGGCTAGATACGTGTGGCCATGTGAGAGCATTTGGAGAGAGAGAGCTGACTCTCCCCACTCTCGGCCGTACCAGGACAATCGGGTTTAAAATATGGATTTAGTTCGATTAGAAGATCAATTTTAATTTTTAAAAAGAACCAAGAGGAATTAGGAGAACATTTGATCCTTATATGAAATTCCTCAGTACACAGAACTTTAAAACATTTGAGTTAAACAAAGATTAAAAGATTTCATGAAAAATAGGTCACTCTTAGATTTTTCGGTTGGTATTCAAAAAAATAATATTTCATATAGTTGAAATCATGAGTCAATTGAAGCTAGACCGCTATGGAAAAACCTAGAAGCACTGGACGGCCGTTTCGTCCCAATATGGGACTCCTCAGCAGTGCGCACAATAGGAAGAAATGGCCGCCCAGTGCTTCCAGGTTTTCCATGGTGGTCTAGCTTCGATTGACTGATGATTTCAACTATATAAAATTACTAAAATCTACACAAGATCTCCCTTCTAATAATTTATATTTCATTTTATTGATAACAATTTCACATTCAACATATTGTTGAAATTTTTTCTCGGTAAAGAATTCGATTCAACTTGACACGCATGACATTGATCACCACCCAGTGATCAATTAATTGTGATTACATCTCAGTCCTACAGGAGGTCAATCGCGTCCCGAGTACCTCAGTAATAACGTCTATGACTGTAAATCTGAGTGACACGGGATCGAATCCGTCAGGGAGCATCAGTTCCCTCAAGATTACAGGTAAATCATGCTGATGAGTGCCAAGTAGCACGAAACCCGTGTTCAGGATTTTCAGTTGACCATCTCCAACCACTATCTTATCTCAACATAGTGCACGCAGTGTCGAACCACCTAGACTAATGACCACATTGCAACTTGATCGATAGCATTCGATTAGCACTAAGAAGGACTACACACCCATGATATTGATCACTACCCAATGATCAATCAATTTTAAACTTTATTCATTGCTAACTAAATGATTATTATCTATCGAAAATCAATTTAAAAAAAAAATGATACATATTAACTTTTATATAAAAAAGTTAATTTAATTGAACCTACTTGATTATGTAATTTTTTAGAATCTTTTATAATGATTGATTGATTTTCAATATACCAACGTAATTTTTTTTGAAGATTTTCTATTTGATTTAAAAAATTTTCTTTCATATTTATAAAATCTGTTTGAGATTTTTCTTTAAATAATTCATATTTTTCTAATAAATTATTTTTCTCATTGATAGAATTATTTATCTATAAAGAAAAAAAAAAAAAGAAGTCATATTTAACTACTTTTTATGAGTTGAATATAGTTACTTACTTACACCTGTTACTCCTAATGGAACATATGCCGACGACCAGCATTCTGCAACACACTTTATCCTTATCCTACATTTCTAATTCTATCCAACTTTTGTTCATTCTTCTCATGTCTGTGTTCATTTCTCGGCGTAATGTGTTCTTTGATATTCCTCTTTTCCTTTGACCTTCAAGATTCCATGTGAGGGCTTGCCTTATGATGAAGTTAGGTGATTTCCTCAATGTATGTCCTATCAACTTTTAGCTCTTCATCCTGATTTTTTCCTCCGCTAGAATCTGGTTTATTCTCTCCCACAGTAACTCATTGCTGATAGTGTCTGGTCATCTGATCCGAAGTATTTTACGTAGACACCTGTCAATAAACACCTGTATCTTCTGAATGATGGATTTCGTAGTTCTCCATGTCTCCGCCCCATACAGTAGAACTGTCTTGACATTTGTATTGAAAATTCTGATCTTGGTGTTGGTTTACAATTATTTTGAGTTCCAGATGTTCTTCAATTGTAAATATGCTGCTCTTGTTTTGCCGATCTGCGTCTTCACATCTTTATCAGATCCAACGTGTTCATCAATGGTGCTGCCCAGATATTTTAGGGTTTTCACATCCTCTAGAGCTTCTCCGTCAAGTGTAATTCATTTGGTACATGCTGTATTGTATTGAATCTTGCTTTTCTCTTTGTGTATATTGCGTTCTACTGCTACACTGAGGCTGTCGCTACATTGGTTGTCTTCTCCTGTATTTGTTGTTGTGTGTGTGACAGAAGAGCCAGATCATCTGTGAAGTTTAAATCATCCAGCTGCATCCTAGCTGTACATTCTATCCCGTGCTTCCCTACCCTCAGATATTGACGTCTTCATGATTCAGCCGATCACCAGGAGAAAGAGAAAAATTTAGAGTGAGTGACCTTGCCTAACACCGGTCCTTACCTCGAAAGAGTCAGTGAGCTGTCTTCCATGCAGGATTTGGCAGTTTAATCCATCATAGGAATTCCATATGATATTGATTATCTTCTCAGGCACGCCGTAGTGTCAAAGAAGTCTTCATGGTGTTGTCCTGTCCACGCTATCAAATGATTTCTCGTAGTCAATGAAGTTGATTTAGAGTGTTGAATTCCTCTACATCAAATCAGAGTAATATATATATTAAAGTATTGTGTAGAAGGATATCATTAGTTTGTGTTTAGGGAATATTCTTTTTAGCTCAAAATGAGGATTTCGAAGGCATTTTATTTTGAGAGAACAAATCGCCTTCGAAATTCTACATACTTTGAAAGGATACTGTGAAACCATTCTTCTGATTACTAAATGTTTATTTGTTGAGGGGTACTTAAGTGAAACAATGTCTTGTGGTATAATTTTTATTTTTAAGCTTTTTATTAACAAAGTTTTTAAACTTTACTCTTAGAATGTTCTTTGTAGAACGATAATGAAATTTTTTACGACCTACCCATTCATTTTGGAGTAGGTTACATTACTAAAATAGTTTAAATAAGATGTGAAACGTCTGGATCATTGAAAATGTTGATTAGTAGTGGAATCTAGAATCCACTTTTCATTTATCCAGATACTCGTCAGTTAGATGTATCACCATATCATTGTTTATGTTCACTCTAGGACTTGAAACTGTTGAATAGGTCATTGTATATCTGAACTCTGAATAACGCTTTAGAGTTTGAATTCAAATATGAACATCAACAGTTGCTTAGAATGCCCTGGATTCCACTGTCAGCCACAATTCATCTAATCTTGCAAAAACTGATAGAATAATTATATCTAGGTGATACGTACATTTGCACAAATACAAATAAAAGACTAGACAAAACGATGGGATAACTCTTATCTCAACGAATAATTATATAAGATGAGTAGCTTGAAAATAATTTTCATTCCAAGCTGATAGTGATAGATCGCAATAAACTATTTTTAAACCGAATGAATCTTCAAAAATCTACATTACATCTATAACAATAACAAATACTAGATATCGTTTGAGAAAAATATTAAAAACGCATAAAATCACATTGGAACATATACAAAATACTCAACATTCACTGGCCGGATACCATTAACAACAGCGTTTTATGGGAGAGGACAAACCAGCAGGTTCCAGCTGAAGAAGAAATTAGAAAAAGACTTTGGAAGTGGTTAGGACATACATTGAAGAAATCATCAAACTACATCACGAAGCAAGCCCTGACTTGGAATCATAAAGGGAGACGAAAGAGAGGAAGGCCAAAGAACACAATACGCCGTGAAATAGAAACAGATATGAAAAGGATGAATGTTAACTGGAAGGAACTGGAATGGATCGCTAAAAAAACGCTAACCAGAAAAAATAATTCAAGCCCAGGACAGGATTGGATGGAAAATACTGGTGTTCAGCCTATGTTCCTTCACATTGGACAACAGGCGTAAGTAACTAATTAAGCATATAAAAAATTGAGGAACCGAAAGAAGAAAAAAATTAGTCTTTCTAAAATAGCTTAACTCGAAACAAAATATCATGCAACTATTCCTAAAAATATTTTTACCACAGCAGACAATTTTGTTTTCTGTAAGCTGAGAAAAATCTCCAAAAACGAGTAGGAAGCGTTATAGACTAGGCCTTAATAGTACCTTAACAGTATCAATTTCCAGCTGAAGAGAAAATTAGGAAAAGAGGTTGGAGATGGATAGAACATACATTATGAAAATCATCAAACTGTATCACAAGGCAAGCGCTAACTTGGAATCGTGAAGGGAAACAGAAAAGAGAAAGGCTAAAAAACACACTACGCCAGGAAATAGAAGCAGATATTAAAAGGATGTATAAAACAACTGGGGAGAACTGGAAATGATTGTTGAGGACAGAGTTGAATGTACAATGCTAGTTTGAGGCTTATGATTCACCACAAGGCATAAGTAAGTATCTAAGTTTTAGTTATTAGTCTCAAATATCTTACTTACTTTACTTGGGCTTATTACTCCCTATGAAGCATAGGCTGCTGACCAACATTTTCCAACCCACTCTGTCCTGGGCCTTCCATTCCAGCTCCTCCGGGGGCTACTGCCGCTCCCAATCCCGGGTAAAGGAGGAGGGTTGGGCATGGGATTAGCGACCCCATCCGGTAGACAACCAACTTGCTAAAAAACAACGCTAAGTGGGAAAAAGTATTCAAACCACTCAAATATCTACCAGAATTAATTGATTTTCAATAGTTAACTAGATAGTTTTAAATGGTCAGTACTCATATTCATCAACATATATGTCAACACATATACAAGTAGGTATAAACTATATGAATTTAACAGGATACTCATTTACTTTTATATTCATGTTTGTCAACTCTAAACGTGTATCATTTAATTCTTTCATTAATTTATTTTTCTCATTATCCAATTGTTTATTTAATTCTTCTAATTCATTCATTCGATTTTCTGTCATAAATTTAAAAAAGTGAAAAATTGAATACATTATTATCAGAAGGGGTTTTGTAGAGAGTTAGTATTTTCATAGTTGAAAGCTTCAGTCAATTGAAGTTAGACCACCAGGGAAAACCTAGAAGCACTGGACGGCCGTTTTGTCCTATTGCGGGACTCCTCAGCAGTGCTCATCCACGATCTCGCACTCGCAAGATTCGAACCCAGGACCTACTAGTTTCGCGCCAGAGCACTTAACCGATAGACCACTGTGCCGGCATCCAACGGTGTCCCACAATAGGACGAAACGGCCGTCCAGTGCTTCTAGATTTTCCCTGGTGGTCTAACTTCAATTGACTGAAGCTTTCAACTATGAAAATACTAACTATCTACAAAACCCCTTCTGATTATAATTATATGCTCACTAGTGACTGACTTCAAGATACATGTCCTGGAGTTCTAGTGGGAAGCAATGACCAGTGGAGTTCTACCAAGTCTGTTGTAGAGATATCGACTCACTGAAGACAATTGGTGAATGGTTTCTCAACTTCGAGGATCAGTTGAAGTAAGACATTAACACCGTTGGATGCCGGCCGGCTCAGTGGTCTAGCAATTAAGTGTTCAGGCGCGAGACTAGTAGGTCCTGGGTTCGAATCTCGCGAGAGCGGGTTCGTGGATGCGCACTGATGAGGAGTCCCATAATAGGGCGAAACGGCCGTCCAGTGCTTCCAGGTTTTCCATGGTGGTCTAGCTTCAATTGACTCATGATTTCAACTTTGAAAAATACTGAAATCTCCACAAATCCCATTCTAATTAAATATATATCTGAAATATTATTATTGTTGTTGCTATACTCACTATTTACAATTTACTGTTTTCTTATTAAAAAAATATTCATAAATTTTCATTCTAACTATTGCGATATAGAAGTAAATTTGACATGTGGTTATCATTCAGAGATGATGGTGTTAAGCAGTGGAATTGAGAACACGAGTTTCGTCCTATTTGAGACTCATCAGCTGGATGTACCTGCATTCCAGTGTTGCTGTTCACTCCACCAAGTACTATTCGCTTCAAACTCCATTGTGTTATTCTTAGCTTTTGAGTAAATAGAGGCCTGCTTAAAAATCTGGACTACCTATTCCTGTCATCTAGATATTTCAACAAGTTATCTCTTTTCTTGTTTGTTGTTTTACACATTATAGCTTAGCCGATTCATGTGCGTTTCTGATAAGTGTACAAGTTACAAAAGGCCCTATCAGAAATATCCTGGTTGCCGGCAATAGGCAGCGGAAAGAATGTACATTGTTCAGATGTCAATTGACAGGACTGCTAACTTCTAACTGGCGAACACTCAATATTTGTCTTCAGGATCTATCAAGAAGTAAGAACCGGAAACTTGTTGAAATACAATACACAAAACTGTTAATGAACCTAAAACGACTATCATTTTCCACTAGGTATTTGTTAGTATTTATTCTGCTCATTTTCTAGCGCATCATCAGTGCAATATAAGTCACTAATTGAATGTAAATTAATTTACTTAACTTCGGGTTACACGTTTTGGACGTTTGAGATTATTATTATTACTTCTATGTATAGACCGAAGTCGGTTCAAGAATTCTACCAGTAAATTGTATCTTTACTTTAATCACAATGGTATTTACAGATTTTACTACCCATAGAAAAAAGGAGCCAAGATAATTATTTATGAAGAAGAACTACTGTGCGTTTATCATTTTTAATTATTCAATTAAACTGTTGCATCCCGATAACAATAGTGAATGGTAACTTTGGGATCTGTTTATGAATTAATACTATGCATATATTTTTTATCGTACAACTGCTAAATAACTAAACTACTCATATTCATGTTCCCCTTATTATAAGCTTTATTTTCAACTATAGACTATTGTTATACGATTTACCATTCATGAATTACACCCAGTCTAGTGATTATTGTTCCCCTTATTCACAGCCACATTTGGGTAAATCTTGTACAAATGTTATTTTCTATTTTATTGGTACGATGTGGTCAGTTTGATTGGTCTATAAACCCGGTATGTTTGTGAATAATGATTCATATTGCAGAGACTGTTAGTGGTGTTCTGGACTTAACTGGCTGGGCTAGGCAGAAAACAGGACTGATAAATACTCTAGACTTCGTACGGTTTTCGTGTGTCATTGGTCCGATCGATAATTCACTGCTTTGTAATTTGCTGTCTTATGACGTTCATACATTAACAAGGCATCCATTCGGCCACAAGTCATGAAACAAAAACATACTTTTTTAAAAAGCATTTTGGATTATATACCTTGATTCAATCTTGAATTCCCAGATAACATGGTACATATTTGTTGACTACGCAGTTTTAATTCTTTGTTTAATTGTTCAACTTCAACTCTTAAAGAAAGATTTTCAGTAGTAAGACGTTTTGCTGTCTGTGAATCTTCAGTTTCAGTTGGATTATTCTAGAATCAAATGAAGGAATAAAGAAGAAAAAACTAATATGTAACGTTATAGGCAAAGATGGATAGTAGCTAGCAGAGGAATCTAGGACACGCGTTTTGTCCTATTCGGGACTCGTCAGCTGAATGTACCTGCATCAGAGAGTTGATGTCCACTCTGGGACTCGAACCCAGTGCCTTTCGCTTCAAACGACATCGCGTTATCCACTCAGCTACTGAGTCCTGATAGCCACTTGCTTGTGCAATAGGGTGAGGTTTGAATTCACTCAGTATTGACCAGCTGCAGTCCCAAGCATCAATACTAAGTGAATAATATGTAACGTGTTAGGATGAAATAAAAATGTGGAATCATGTTTTAATTTAGTAATCCAATTACTCAGTATAATATTTGTTTGATTTCGGTGTGACATATGATATATATGTATTACCTTAATGTGAAATGCATTCAGCATAATATACAGTGTTGGTTTTGTATTACTTTAGTGTAAACTACATTTTTGTATTTCTCCAGTGTTATAATTTGTTTTGCTAATCAACTACCCAGTTACTCCTATTGCTTAGTATTCACATACAAGGACACTCGACAAGACCCCCAAAAATCAGAACACGCTGAACAGGAACGAAATTGTATTCGAAATAACAAGGGTAGGTGAACAGCAATCAATCGTTAGGAAAAACGTTCATATATTTATAGTATATACATAAGAAGCTTCTAGATGTTTCTCCAATAATCTGTCAGAGCTGATTGGTTTGGAAGAATTAACTAATCAGCGTGCGCCGTCACGATCATGCACATAATGTGCCTTAATCCGGTTTATTTCCCGCTAACATCCAGTTTGTGATTAATCATTAAATGTCAGTAAAATCTGTACATGAATAAGTATATATTGTTCGCACAGTTATTATCATGCTTTTGATTTGAATGGTGAGTGAAGTAGTCTTTCATTATCAGTTTCCTCCTCCTGTTTGTGCTGCTCGGATCAATTTCTACTAGAATCACCAATACTATAAAGTACCAGTTTTCCATGGTTGTAACAACTGAAGATGTGTTGAACCTTTAATCAGTACTTCTTTGAACAGTTAAGACACCTAATAAATTATCAGGATAAAGGATACAAGAATAGACCATATATTTTTGATAGAAAAAAACACAACACAAACTAACTCTACGTAATTTTTTGATACATGCATATAACTTCTCATTTTCACGTTGATAACCAGCAATTAGTGATTCTTGCTTTTCATACTCTTTTTTAAGTTCATTCATAGTAGTGAAATTATGAGCAGGTTTATGACTATAGTCAATATTTGACTCCACATCATTATTTCTTCTGACATTCACCCCATTAACTTCTGTATTTAGGTTCATTAGTTTTTCATCATCATCATCATCATCATCATCATCATGACTTATTTTTTCGTTATAATGTGCATTGCCCTATTTTCGTAAAAGAAAAGTTGAAAAATGATTGAACGACATATGTAGTCAGTAAACTTTCGTGTGCAAAATTGTACTACTTATATTTTACTAAAGTAGTATACTAATATTACCAAAAATATTTCAATCAAGATCTGTTTACACGCAATTATACACATGAAATAACCAAGATAAACGAGCACCAAACAAACAATGGTCACGTAAAAACCTAGCTTTTATATCGAATTCAAACATCCATACATTCATTAACATAAATAATGGCTAAGAATGACAAGACTTTATGTTCAGTCAGTAGAAGTAAAGTACATTAGAGCATTAATGTGTATGGTAAAGATAATAGTAGTTAGTAGAGTACTTAGTTGATTGAATTGCAAGAATATCAACTATGACATTTAAATAGAAGTAATCTAAGCTAGAAACTAAATCATTTCAAGCAACCACACGAAGCGAAGTATTTCAATAACTGAAAGGGTTATTTTCACTTACTTTAAAATAAGGAATTCAATTTGCTTATAAACTCTGGTTTCAATTCAAAGAGAACTACTGAATAAAGTAGAACAGAATAGGTAGATGATGCATACATTGATCATAAATATGATGATGTCTTTTACAAAAACTGTGTTAACCCAATATTAATCATCATTTTAAAGATGTAAACATAAATTAAGTAGAAGATTTGAGATTGAATAGGCATGAAATAACAGAACATTATAAGGACTGTTTATTTTAAGTGTAGTAGGATGACATGTATGCTTTAATTAATAAGAATAACTAAGATCTGTATCACATAGTCTCGTGATTTTTGAGAACCTAAACAATTGAATATCATTTCCTTAAAATAGGATACTCTTAACTGGCTAACTTGTTCAAGATTATACTGATCTGAACGATCAGACTAACAGTTAATAAGGAAATAATTGAAGCTGCTTACTCACTTACTTACGCCTGTTATCCATCGTCAAAGAGCATAGGCTGAACACCAGCATTCTCCAACCAACCCTGTCCTGAGCAATCCTTTCCAGTTCCTTCCAGTTAACATTCATCCTTTACATATCTGCTTCTATTTCCCGACGTAATGTGTTCTTTGGCCTTCCACTTTTCCGCTTCCCTTCTGGATTCCAAGTTAGCGCTTGCCTAGTGATGCAGTTCAGCAATTTCCTCAATGTATGTCCTATCCACTTCCAACGTGTTTTCCTAATTTACTTCTCAGTTGGAAGCTGGTTTGTTCTCTCCAGCAGAAGTCTCTTGTTGATGGTATCCGGTCAGTGAATGTTGAGTATTTTGCGTAGACAACTGTTTACAAATACTTGTAACTTCTTGATGATGGAAGTAGTGGTTCTTCATATTTAAGCTCCGTAGAGTAGGACTGTCTTAACGTTGGTATTGAAGATTCTCACATTGAAATAATTTGATAGTTATTTTGAGTTCCATATGTTCTTCAACTGTAGGAATATTGTCTTCACTTTGCCAATCCTCGCCTTTGAATCTACATCTGATCCTCCTTGTTTATCAGCGATGCTTCCCAGGTACGTGAACGTTTCCACCTCTTCCAGAGTTTCTCCATCAAGTGTGGTTGGGTTGGTGTTCTCCATGTTGTATTTGAGAATCTTACTTCTTACTTTGTGTATGTTGAGGCCTATTGATGCATAGGTTGCTGCTACATTTGTTGTTTAATAAATGGAGCGGACAACATAAATCTACAGAAGATATGGATGACTTTCTTTTTAGTAAGTTTATTTCATTAATTTGAAAGAATATCAGAAAAGATCATTCATTAGAAATATAGTGAAAACAGTGGAATAATAAACCATGTTCATTATTCAAATAAAATAAAGGAGCGATTTATTCATACAGTAACATGAATCATGCACTAAGACTCAGAGACTTCTATATCACATAAATCATTATGTTAATATTCACTAGGAGTATTGATTCTTCGACCTTATGATATTCAAGTTATATTTTGATGATAAAACATCCAAAACAACCAAAACATTCAACAGACCCATTTCATCACCACAATAACATAATGATATTTTCATAGTTCAAAGCATGAATCAATTGAAGCTAGACCACCAAGGAAAACCTGGAAGCACTAGACGACTAATTCGTCCTATTGTGATACTCCTCAGCAGTGTGCATCCACGATCTCTCCTCGTAAGATTCAAACCCAGGACCTACTTTGGTGGTCTAACTTCAGTTGACTAATACATTCAACTAAGAAAGATATACATATAAATAACTGAAATATTTTGACAAAAAAAAATTAAAAAAAAATAAAAATCTGAATAAAGATTTTCATTTTACTTGTAAACGTGTTATAACATTCTGTAAACGAAATACTTCAGCTTCATAATTGGATCGTATATTGGATAGTTGTTTTTCATATTCTGTTTTATTCATTAATTCAGCTTGTAATTTTGCATTCTAATAAATTATAAACAAAAACAAAAACAGAAAATTAATATTAAACATTAGAATAAATAGACAAAATAATGCATAGAAGGGGGTTTCGCGGAGATTTTAACAAGTTTATATAGTTGAGATCATGAGTCAATTGAAGCTAGACCATCATGGAAAACCTGGAAGCACTGGAGGGCCTCAGCAGTGCCTATCCACGATCTTGCCTTGCAAGATTCGAATTCAGGACCTATTGGTCTCGTGCCAGAGCACTTAACCGATAGACTACTGAGCTGGCATCCAACGGTGTCCCACAATAGGACGAAACGGCTGTCCAATGCTTCCAGGTTTTCCCTGGTGGTCTAGCTTCAATTGACTCATGATCTCAACTATATAAAATAATTTATACTTAAAGAACTAAGGAAATGAAAAGAATGACTAGGTAAGTATTAGCTTAGTTTGAATTTTTTCAAAGATGATAAAATAGCTCATCTGTAAACAACAATGACGAGACTATAACTTATGAACGAACCAATCACATTTCAGGTAGAAGATCTTGGATTTAGGCGCGAAATTCATTCACTTATTGGACGAAATATCATTTTAGTGATATAGATGATATCACTTCGTGATGAACACCATAAATCTAATTCCAAACCCTAACAACCAACATTATATCCTGATTCCTTACACTAATATATAACCCTAGTAAATAGGTAGACATTCCAAGGTCATTTTAGCGTTATTCAAAGGTTGTCAATAACTTATAGTATTACCACAAATGCTTGAATGCTAATATATATTACTCTTCCTAATATTAATTAGTTTACCATATATCAAGGAAATCTCTTATGATTATCTTCTCTTCAGCGGGTTTATCAGTTTCAACTTTTATGATATGTTCAGAGAGGGATTTTGTGGACATTATAGTAATTTAATAGTTGAATTTATGAATCACTTGAAACTAGACCACCATGGAAAACCTGGTAGCACTGGACAGTCGTTTTGTCCTGATATGGTACTCCTCAGCAGTGCGCATTCATGATCCCGCCTCACGAGATTCAAACCCTTAATCTATCAGTCTCCTACACGAGCCCTCAACCAATAGACCACTTAGTCGGGATACACCTCTCTCTGATTATAATCATCATATGTTCACTAGTGATGTTCTACAAGAGGTATTACCTGGATTTCTTGTGAGAAGTCGTAACTAGTGGAATTCAACCGGGTCTGTTGTGAGATAGTAACTCACTGAAAACAATGATGGACGGTGGCACAATATTATCAAATGTATTAAGAATGAACTCAGAATACTAAATTGATAATTAGAGATAATTAAAAAAGTTTTAAAAACTGTACTATTTACACAAAATGTACTGTGATTATCAGTGTGTTAAAACGTTTCCCATAATTAGTAAGTTGTATTGTAGGTTAAGATAATCAAACCTATATGGACTTCTTATAGAATGAGTTACGTTCAATCATATCCACAATACTGAAATATTAGATTACAAAATATCAAATGATATATCTTTTTGAATATCTAGGCTGACCTGAAGTGTTCCCATAGATACTAAGTTTGTATAGATGACAGATTTGGGGTGGTAATTTATTAATAATACCTACTTACTTATATCTGTTACCCCTCAGCGAGGAACATAGACCACTCACCAGAATTCGCCATACAACTCTATCTTGTACAATCCGTTCCACTAGCTTCCAGTTCCCATTCCTCATTTTGATGTCTGCTTCGAATTCCACACACAGTGTGCTCTTTAACAATCCTCTCTTTCGTCTCCCTTCCACAAACACACATGCTTGCCTCGTCATGCAGTTTGAGGATTTCCTCAATGTGTGTCCTATTCACGTCCAACGAATTTCCCTAATTTCCTTCTCAGCTGGAACATGGTTTGTTCTCTCCCACAGAAGCCTCTTGCAGATGGCTTCCGAGCAACTGACATTGAGTATCTTGAGTACACAACTGTTTATAAATACTTGTACCTTCTTGGTGATGATTGTGGTAGTTCTCCACGTTTCAGCTCCATACAATAGAAATAACTGTCTTGATGTTCGTATCGAAGAATGTGAATTTGATGTTGACTGATAGACAGTTGTATTGAGTTCCATATGTTTTTCAACTGTAGGGATGCTGTTCTTGCTTTGCCAATTCTCACCTCTACGTGTACATCAGATCCTCCACGTTCATCGTTGGTGCTATCCAGATACGATGAACTTTCCACCTTTTCCAGAGTTTATCCATTAAGTATGATTGTGTTGTTTATCTTTGTGATGTGTGTGCTTTAGAATCTTGCTTTTTCTTGTGTATTTCATTGCCAATGATAAGAATGAGTAAATATTGTGTTGTTTTATAAATTGACTGAGTTTGGAAAATATTGTGCGTTAGGTTTTGATCTAGTAGTTTAGAGATAAAATGATCGTCATGTGACTTGGAAGTCCTAGGTTTGACTCCTTCAGGAGTCGTAAAGATTCATTACTTTGTAGTTCCCAATTAAAATATAAGAATTATCTATCGCTCTTTGGTTCATTATAATTCCTCAGCCAACATTAGTTTGTGATGAAAAACATCTACAGCGCTATCCATTCTTCATAAACTACTTGACCAAAGAATAAAATATATGATATAGGTGATGATGAAAACCTTCGTTTAATCGTATATAAAAATTTGCCAAAATGTTAAGCCATATTCGATAGAACCTGGGTCACAAATATGTAGAAGAAATTAGATATAAACTTTATATTTGAAGTAATCACGAATATTTACATTTGAATAACTTCAAATTTCCGCTTTGAGAACTGGTTCGAGCTTCTCCTTAGAATAATAATTATGAAAACTGTCGTTCAGTCATGTTCAACTCCAGGTTTGAAACGGATTCTACGGGTTTAGTATTGACATCTCAAAACAGTCCTACTGTATGGAGATGAAACGTGGAGAACTACTACATTCATCGTCAAGAAGGTACAAGTACTAATAAACAGTTGTCTATGCAAAATACTCAACATTCATTGGCCCAATACTATCAGCAACAGCGTTTTATGGGAGAGGACAAACCAACTTCCAGCTGAAGAGGAAATTAGGAAAAGACGTTGGAAGTGGATAGGACATACATTAAGAAAATCACCAATGTACATCACGAGGCAATCCCTAACTTGGAATCCAGAAGGGAAGCGGAAAAGTGGAAGGCCAAAGAACACATTACACCGGGAAATAGAAGCAGATATGAAAAGGATGAATAACAAGTGGGAAGAACTGGAAAGGATTGTTGAGGAAAGAGTTGGATGGAGAATGCTACTGGATGGCCTATGCTCCTCCACGAGGGGTAACAGACGTAAGTAAGTATTGACATTTAATGTTGTATTTGTCTTGTTCATCATAAAATGATCTATTTACACAGAACTGTTTCCATAAAGTCAAGAGCCTTCAAAAGAATATAAATTTAAACAACATATGAGTATTTTACTCTTATGGTATTTGCTGTACATAAAATTCAGTTATTCATACAATTAATCTTTTTCCAAGACTTACGGCTTTTCTCTCTTCATCTAAATGTCTTTCAAGTTTAGACAACAAATCGAAAAAGATACTTTGATTAGACTGTGTATCATTACAATGTTCATTTTGATGATTATTACAATCGTCCATAATGACCGGATTCAGTATAGATTCCTTTGTATTGTTATCAGAATGAGTATTCATTGAATTATTCTCATTGTTACTATTCAGAAGGTTATCCGATTGACAAGGTTCTGAAAAGTTTTGACTAGATGTTTTATATCTAAATAGAAGAAAATATGTAACGTGACTAGACTACACAACTACACTTTTTAGTCTTCACTTAGAGCCTGTACAAATTCCAGTTACCTTAAATTTGATCTCTTGTAATTTCTTAGTATGGAATAAAGAAGAAATGCTAATGTTATGTCGCGATAACAATAGTGAATGATAACTTTGGGATCCATTTATGGACCAATATGATGCATGTATTTTTTTATCGTATAATTGCTAAATAACTAAACTATTCATATTCATGTTCCCCTTATCATGAGCTTTATTTTGAACTTTAAACTATTGTTATACGATTTACCATTCATGAATTACACCCAGTCTACTAATTACTGTTCCTCCTATTCACAGCCATATTTGGCTAACTTTTGTACAAATGTTATTTTCTATTTTATTGGTACGATGTGGTCAGTTTGATTGGTAATATAAACTCAGTATGTTTGAAATATAAGTATTTATACCACAGAGGCTGTTCTGGACTTAACTGGCTGGGCTAGACAGAAGCAAGACCGATACGTACTCTAGACTGCTCGTATGGTTTCTGTGTGTCACTGTTCCAATTGATAATTCGCTGCTCTCTGGTTGACGATCTTATCACGTTCATACGTTAACAAGCCATCCACTCGGCCACAAGTTATAACAGCTTACTAGTTTGTTATCATTTCATTATCAACAAAACTGAAACAGACATTTTTGCAATATCTAAGAAACTGTATAAACGAAAATTGATTTAATATTTGGAACGGAATTACAATCTTCTAGTATGGTGAAATATTCTGAATAACACTTCAAGAGATCAGTACAAAATAATTCAGTGAAAACAGGATTTGATATAAACAATTTCTCTATCAGTCATTATTATCTATGAATTTATATTCTTAGAAACTCGTGCTATTACGGGTATGAGGGCTAATATCACTTCCCGGCTGCCTACACCGTGAAAGAGTATTTCTTGAGGTACCTGAAAAGAAAGTTGGATTAATGTTGGTCTTAACGATCTGGGAGCGTGACCGCAAAGCCCAAGGAACAAATGCTTGAGGCCGGTCACGCACGGCCTTTTTGTGGGGGGTTTTTGACGTTTTAGCTCCGTTATTCAAATGGCCTTACCGCTGGAAACGGAAATCCGTGAGGTAAGGTGAGGTGTGATATTTTTAGGGTCGACCTTTTCTAACCCTTTCCTTCCTTATGAGGAAGAAGCATCGCTGTAGATGCTGGTTGTACGAGGGAAACACCTTACTGCTGTCACACCCTTCTACAGTCAACAGTACGACTTCGCCCTCAGATCTTGAGTTGCTGCTTTTAGTCTTACCGTTCTTTAATCGAAATGCCTGGCATGGTAGAACCTACAGCAACATATGTTCCAGCCAGTATAGCTTGGTTGGGTCATCATGATAAGCAAGCTCGACCACCACGTAGAGGTAGCAGCTACGGTCGAGTTCTTAGAAACTGGTCTATAATATTTTATGAAGTTCATTGTAGGAGACTGTAGTCTATTTACAAATCAGTTCCTTCACTGTTTTTAATGATTTCTTAAAATTTTGCTTTCTTTCTTGTTTTATTTTAGTGAAAATAACATGGTATAGTTGGGAGCAATAAATGTTTGATTCGTACTATTTGATACAAGTCTATAGAGTTAATATACAAGAATTGTATTTCTTAGCTAAAATTTGATAATCAGAAAGATGTTTTGTGGAGATTTAGTATTTTCATAGTTGAAATGCTTGAGTCAATTGAAGGTAGACCACCAAAGAAAACCTAGAAGCACTGGAAGGCCGCTTCGTCCTATTGCGGGACTCCTCGGCAGTGCGCCTCGCGAGATTCGAACCCAGGATCTATCAGTTTCGCACAAGAGCGCTTAACCTCTAGACCACTGAGCTAACCGGTATCCAGTACTTCCAGGTTTTCCTTGGTGGTTTAGCTTCAATTGATCCATACTTTCAACTAGTAAAATTTGATATTTATGAAAGTGAGTACTCAATACTTTAAGCAAAACTAATCAATATCAGAAAAAATCAACACTAACTATTGTTTGCAGAGAAAAATGACTTCAAAAGAAAAACAAAGATGTAGCATATTAAATTAATGAAAACTAACTTTCCAGTATCCTTTTTATTACATATTCTAGATGAGGGTTTCATTTTTCCACTTCCATACTTTTTATAACATTTTAATGGTAATGAAGATGTAATGTGTTTACATGATACTTTATGTGTAGAACATGGATAAGAATTATCACATCCAATTAATCCTTTTCGAATACTTTCATGTATCATGGAAATGTGTTGAGTCGACTAATTCAAATTCTTTAAACTTGGCTTCAATAACAATGAAGGTGTATTCAGATTTATTCAATTATATAACCAGTCAATTTTATAAAACGTCAATAGTTCTGTAAACAGAAAATAGGAAATAACTTCAAAAGTTTGAAAGGATTTACTGGTAGACATTATCTTCCTATAGGCAATAATCATTGAAAGTTTATCCCTTTTGTCTTGTGTTGAAGCTTACATCCCTTAAAAATGACAAAATAATAAGCTAATTTTTATTGATAAACTATGCTATATCTAACTTAGAATCCTAAAGGGAAGCGGAAAAGAGGAAGGCCAAAGAACACACTACGTCGGGAAATAGAAGCAGATATGAAAAGGATGAATGTTAACTGGAAAGAACTGGAAAGGAAGGCTCAAGACAGAGTTGGATGGGGAATGCTGGTCGGCGGCCTACGCTCCTCCACGAGGGGTAACAGGCGTAGGTAAGTAAGTAAAAATACTACCTAATATAACTGAATCTTTCTTTAGAATAATGCATTTAATAAATTTTTATCATCATATCATATAGATAGTTGAAACAAATAATTGTTATTAAAGTAATTAAGTGTATGGTACTCTATGAACTACTAATAAGAATCATTCAATCAGTGGTCTATCGGTTAAGTGCTCTGACGCGAGACTGATAGGTCCTGGGTTGGAATCTCGCGAGGCGAGATCGTGGATGAGCACTGCTGAGGAGTCCCACAATAGGACAAAATGGCCGTTGAGTGCTTCCAGGTTTTCCATGGTGGTCTAGCTTCAATCGACTCATGCTTTCAACTATGACAATCAATAAATGTCGATACAATAACAAATAAACTACTCATTGTGCTTACAAGCAAATTCATCGTATCATCTGTATACCTTTTTCATCATTTTTTTTGCCAACAAATGAGACTCAGATGAAATATCCATCGACATAGTAAAATAAACACTGAAGATAACCATGAAAAGTAATGTATAATTATTTATTCAGTTATTATAACTGCATTCTATTATTTTTAGGTTTGTTTGAAATGTTCATAGGCCGGTTGTAAATCTTAAAAATATTTCTCTTGAGATACATATTATGTGATAATAAGTTTGCAACTAGTTACCTATTCGGAATCATATAAATCTGAGACGTTATACAACGATTGAAAAAGCGTTTTTTGTGTATTTTGATAAGGTTAATAGTTGGTGTTTTTCTTAATTATAACTGAAAAATTCACTAAACTTACGCGTCACCTAGAAAACATGATCATTTCAACATCCCAAGCTAATGAACTTAAGCCGGAATTTTAAGTTTGACTTTTTAAGCTCATAAGACGAGAAGTGTTAGATTTAACTAATTTTACTTTCATGAGGAACTCCACCTGTAACTATTCTATAGTTACTGTCGGTTCCAAGCCCATACAAAGGAGGAGGATCGGGCATGAGGTCGGGAACTTCACTCCATAGAAAAAACCTGGCTAGAAAAACGCTGGTCAGATTAAACAAATTAAACCATCTAAACTCTGCCCTGGGAGTTGAAGGAAGAATTGTGACGCCTTATGATGAAAGCTGAGATTATTCGGAAGTCACTAGGCTTATGCTCCTCCTAACAATCAGAGAAACAATGTGGGAGACCATTAGGACTAGTCAAATAGCAACGGAAGTGAGGAGATACAACTTGGTAGTAGCCTCTGCAACAATTGGCCTCAACATACACAAAAGTACAAGAAAGATCATGAAACACGACGCAGAGAAGAACAACACAATCACACTTAATAGACAAACTCTGGAAAAGGTGAGAGGTTCCTCGTATCCGGGTAGCATCGATGATGAACGTGGACGATCTGATGTACATGTAGAGGTGAGGATCGACAAAGCAAGGATAGCATTCATACAGTTGAAAAACATATGGAACTCAAAACAACTGTCTATCAGTCAACATCAAAGTCACAATCTTCAATACGAACGTCAAGACACTTAGTTCTATTGTATGGAGCTGAGACGTGGAGAACTACCACAAACATCATGAAGAAGATACAAGTATTTATGAACAGTTGTCTACTCAAGATACTCAATGTCAGTTGTCCGGAAGCCATAAGCAACAGACCTCTGTGAGAGCGAACAAACCATGTTCCAGTTGAGAGGGAAATTAGGAAAAGACGTTGGAAGTGGATAGGACATACATTGAGGAAATTATCAAACTGCATGACGAGACAAGCGTTTACTTGTAAGGGAGTTGAGAGAGAGGAAGTTCAAAGAGCACACTCTGTGGAATTCAGAGCAGACATCAAAATGAGGAATGGGAACTGCAAGTGAGTGGACAGGATTGTCGAAGACAGAGTTGTATGGAGAATGCTGGTGAGTGGTCTATGTTCCTCGCTGAGTGGTAACGGGCGTAAGAAACATTCGTGAGCGGGCAAAAGTAAAGAAATCAAGAAAAATGCTAAATTTCATGCAGGTAGTAGACCCTACTATACAGGACAAAGACTATTGAAATTACAGAGTAAAATATTTGACAATCAAAATGCTCTTCAGTTACACAGTCAAGAAACTGCTCCAGATAGTTGAATATTTATTGAAGTTACGTAGTAATAACTTTTGTACTGTTTTATTCTAGGTTTCATCTTACTAAAATTCAACTTCAGGAGTTCGGTATACTAGTTTTTTACATTTCAATTAGCAATATAGATGTCCCAATGATTAGTGACTGTCTTCAATACGTGATATGTCAGGTTTGTAAGCTCACTAATATTCTTCGGATTCTTTGGATTGAATCACTTTTTTATAATGCGGTAATTTTCATGTTTGACTGTAAGGCTGAACCACATCTTATGTTTTACGGCGTAAATGTGATTTCAGCAGATGTTTTGCTATGCTTGGTAATCCATTGTTCAATTTAAAGATGTGTGTGGACTACTAGACTTGAAGATTTTGTCATGTGGTAATTATTCAAGAAAAGAATCTTTACAACCTTATCAAGTGCACTTCACTTTACAAATGATCACTACAACAAAATCAATGGTGAAGATAGACATTTCACGCTCCGATTTTGTAGAGATTATTAAGCAATTACGTTTGCTTTTCATTTGAAACAAGTATTAGCTTGCAGAGGGTCTTTCAATGAACGATTTTAAAAGACTAATATTTGCACGAAGAATATTCTTTTAGATAAATTCTTTTCAAGTTCCACAATTACATGGTCAAATTAATAATCTGAAAAGTGGATAAGTCAAGAGCAAAGTACATCGTTTGGAGTTTAAACATGTGAGCGATTTTACACTCTAGATTTTGACAAACTCTGTGAATACAATGGATACTATCGTTAGCTGGATTTTGGATAAGATTCACCCCTTTTAAATATCTAATGGACTATTGCTTTTTCATGCACGTAATCCTACATGCATGGACGTACAAAATAGATGTAGTTAAATTTAACTTAGTTTGTAGAAAAAAACCATTGGCCGACTTGGCTCTCAATTTATTTAAATACAGAACGACAAACAAATTAACATTGTACATGACAGATGCCAGGCGAACAAATAAGCCAAACAAATTGTTACTTATATGCTGAGTTTCGAAAGTAACTTTTGTTCCGACCAAATTGCCTTTTTGGTGTACAAGATCACCAATATGCACTAATATTACGGTAGGGTGACAAAAATGTCTAGAGACACTGGGTAATTACTCAGTGAGATGAAAGTTCAAGGAAGCCAATCAGTTCATAATAATTCACCACAAAGATGTTAGATATAAGATATCATTATTCTCCTGTGTGTTCACACAAAAACGTTTGAGCCCTAATTTTAAATGCTCATACCCACAAAATCAGCCATATATTTCATATTACCAGGGTGCACACTACCACACAGTTTAATTACACGTCTGATAATTACGACCAAAAATATTAAGTCATCAATTTTCCTATGTTGCAGATTATCTATAATAATCATTTATAGTTTGTTGAAAATCACCAGTAGTAATTGGATTTGCTGGCTTGAATTAAGAATACTTCTTAGAGCCTCAATGAGCGATGAAGAAAATAACTATAAACAATACATATGACGATACTCGGTAGCATTAAAAAAATAAGTACGATTCATGAGGAAATCTGAAGTGCCGCGGATACACATAAACTTATTTGACCCATACATAAGCGTTAGTGATACGCTTAAACACATAAAGCCCAACTCGCTGTTTCATTTGGGTCAAAAATACGAATTAAACATGGCGATAACTCAGTCAACATACTGAATGCATTTAGCGCACATTGACTTTGAATTGTTCCAGGTTCTCTAAATACTTTGGAGGTTTTAAATATGTCATGCTGTACCAGTGATTAGAGGCCCACCTATGTCATTTGTTTCTCCAGTTAGTCCACAAAAAGTAAATACTCACCTTACATTGGCTTGCTGAATTGCGTACACAAAGTGAAAAAATGATTAACTTCTGAACATAACATTTTTATTGCAACAACTGGTAGTTGGTTAAGTCGCAAACGTTTACTTTTAGCTGCTACACTAGCTCCTCCCAAAATGTTGACCAAGTAAATTTAAAAGAATGGGTTTTGCAGCGCATTAACTACTTGACATTGATACATCAGTCGCAAATAACCTGCACTACTCATCCATATCTGACCAAAAACTCCCAGTAGGTTATCTTCTCCCTCGGTAGTGTGTTTCTTCCCACTGTAAGTAATCCAAAGTGACTTTCTGTACTTTTTGGCTATGCAAGGAGCAGAGCTAGTAAGAGTATAAAGCGTAGATCGAACGAAAACATCTGAAGAAGTCCCGCGCGTCTTCTACCCAACAATATTTTGGTGATCTACGTTTTTCTCATTCTCCGTTCAGCCATTAGATGTTTATTTTTATGCTTCCTGTGACATCCTAAATTTAGACAAAAAGAATCTGCCCTTCAAGGGATTAAAATAAATGCACGCAACCAAACTTGGAGGGGAAATGTTAAGCTATGTGTAATAAATACTCACTTTTCACACGACTGTTCGGTCTTCAAGAACCTACTGGCAATATAGAAGGAAACAGGTAAGAAAGAGACATCATGAGAATGGGCGTGTGCCAAACTATTAAGCCACATAAAAATAGTACCATTCTATGCCCTCTAGAGGTTAGATACATCGCTCTGTAAGATTCATTTTTAAGATTTTGTTTCTGAAAATCCCTTGTAGCTGTAAATAATTCCCCAAAATCAATAGCTCATTAAGTGTTTGACATTGGATGCTGACTACGTTATTTAAGTGGACTGGTTTAACTGAAGGCTTTCGGCCATGCATCCGTACCAGATCACGTTGCAACTCGGCGTGGGACACAGCTCCTACGTTTCCATAGTCAGCTAAGTGCAAACTCCTCTCAATATATTGGTAACGAATCAAATATATCTTTCCTGCCTCTTCTCGTCTGACTTCTGTGTCAGTGGTCCTCACAATGAATTTATCTATAATGGTATTCCTAATGAATGTGACAAATATGTTCCGAATGAGTCGAATTCTAGTCACATTTGTGGTGTTATTGTATCAGATGTTGGATACTCTCACGAACAGTGTTTGTTGAGTAGAATCCCGATGATGATGAATCTGAGGGAATAGCATGTTTTCTTGAAGCGATCAGAGAACCAGTTTGCCCAGATATGGAGTTTGCACAGGCAGAGAAGCCAAATCAATTCCAAGATTAGCCTAATGAGTATGAGGCAGATGAATGTTTTCCATTCGATTGTTTCGCAGGTGAATCAAGCCTAGATGAATCACATGTGTTAATTACATATATCAATTCATAATTATCTGTGTATTCTAATACGAATAACAAAAAGAATATGTATCATAATTTTAATGCAAGTCAAAGTAACATGATAGAAGACCTCAAATTACATGTCAGTGTTTATCCCCAAATAGTCACATATAATAATGAAAGCGTAAGATCTAAGAAGATAATGCAAATTGGGAACGTCAAATTGATTATAACATTACGATGTAAGGACTCAACACTATTTCGTGGGGGGAAGATAGTGTTGGAAAGTCTATGATATAAATTCTAAATATCAGTGGTTTCACTAGACAACCGACATGATGATTGTATACGATTCCACAACCCAGATGAGTCTGTTCCGATTTCGGTTGTTAATTCTACTAATAACGAGTGCATTCTAGATGATGTAGAGTCTACATCCAACACACTATCGAACAGATGTAGGATGAACTTAAGAAGATATACAATCGATTACAGACACTTACACTTGAGCTGTGGAGGATGTAGTGTTTGAATTAACCAATGATTCCCTTGTATTGATGACTGTTTTGACTTTGAATTCCAAATACAGTACATTCGTTCGTGCTCATCTAATACTTCTTGATTAACTTGCGTTATTGTTGTAGTTACTAGTTCATACTATAATACAAATACTCTCAAATATCACAGTTTCGTGAAATCAATGGAAAATCAATGGAAGCATCTGTTTTTAAAAAAGAATTTCTAACATTTATTGATGGTTAATGTATCTGTAGTTTTTAGCTAGACTTAATTGCCTTGCTCAGACAAAGCGTTTATGCTTCAAACTATCCTTCATCAACACATAGTCCATTGTTGTTTGTATTTTAAAAACATGAAGAATTCTTTGATTCTCTGGTTTAATTTTGCTGTAGTTTTAAGTATCTAATTAGTTGGCACATCAGTTCAGTTTTACATGTTCCTGTTGCCTTTAGTTTCCACCATATGAACAGAGTATGTTCTGGTTAACGAAAACGCACAATGTTTTTCATGAGACATCATATCGTGCCATGGATTATCTAATGATGAATTTCCGTTCTTTAATATAGCTACTTGTAACTGGATGAACAAGTTTTATATCCGTTACTATCTCACATCTTTTGCCTTTGAAATTACGTAGTCTGTGAGTTTTCATCATACTTCTATCTGGCTGCCATACATTTTACTGATATTGGCGTAAAATACAGAAGAATGGCTGGTTTGGTGGTCATAGCAGAAGATTCCCCGTTAATTTGTTGACTTTCTCCCATCGTAGCGCGATAGCTTTTTCTTGTGGTCCCTACCAGGTTGTTAGGATATTTAGAGAGCAAATCACCTAAGCAACATGCATGATATGGCAAGTGAATATAACAAATAAACTAAACGTTATGTGAAGGAAAGGGAAAAGTACTGCCTGAATCCATTAACATTTTGTTACTATTGTTTTCAAAAATGACAGTGATGAAAATGTGCTTTAAATGACAATGTTCTCGGGATTTTAACTGAAGAGATTTCACTTGACAAACTTTTTTGGGCTACTCATGGTAGGATTAAGCTTAAGCTCTTAATAAAATCGATGCCTTACGTCTGATGTTTAATACAGACATTCTAATTCCGCATAATCTTATATTCATTTTGGAATACAACATATGCCTAAGTATGTGGGTATTAAATACATCATTTCAGTTCTATTGGCTAGCTTGTGCTCAGTTGGTGATTAGTTTGAGTGACCTACGCGTGAACTTTCTCAGTACTCTTCTGATTGGTTGCATTTCTATCTATTTAATATAATATATTTCTGCAAGGGCAGGTACACGCCATTCTTACAGGCATAATCTATCAGTTACAAGACTTACTGGTTCACAGTATGCATCCCACTCAGGGTTCTTTAGTAAATATGATTGTGTAGTCTTCAAAATATTTTCCAAAGGGGCGTCGCGTTCATCTTACACACCGGATCCAATCTCGACAAACTTGTGTTAGGATTTCGGCCGTGCCAAGTATTTATGCAATGCAATTTTTAAGTTTAAAGCTGTTATAAAGTAGACTTGTGGAGCGCACGGTGTGAACTATGACCTTGCGAAAGCGCGTACGTTGAGTTTGTTCCAGATGTGAGAAGTTCCATAGCTTAGCCCTCAGAGGAAAATTCTGAGGAAAAAGAGAAACTGAGAAGCACCAAGGCATTTGTCAGTCATCTCTCATTATCAAATTGATGTATAAATACTTGAGGCACACTTAGTTATTTCGAGTGCAGACAGTTTGAATTCATCTTAACACGATACAGGTAAAACTTGTCTATTGTGGTCATGGATTTGTTTCGTAACAACTGATGGATATTCTGTTCCCGATGTTATTTCTATCGTAATATATTAACATCAGCAACAATGCAGATCCTGTTTAATTATAAAATATCTAACTCTGAAGTTTTCTTCAACACCATTATCTTTACAATCCAGTTGTGCACACTTAGTCCTACTATATTTTGATCTTCGACTACTAATACACGTGTTGGTTAACTTAACGACTGAAATACATGTTCAGAACCATACATATTATTGCCCTTATTTCTTTCTTTAGTCCTCTATCATGCAGCATAAAGATAAAGAATATAACAGTCCTCCTGGCCTTTTCGGTAACTTTCGAACAGTTGTCGCTGTTGCATGTAGTTATTTCTCAGACAAATGGTCTAATGGAACATATGATGTCTTATTATCTAGCCTACCCACATCTGCTGTATTCGTAGACCATGTTTTTGTATGTAGAAATTCGTCGGTATCTGTCCTATTATTATGAGATGTTGTCCAAGTGAAGATCTAGGTGATACATCTACTTTGCTACATCTTATTCAGATGTGCATATACGTAACTCACCACTGTTCTCAGGTGTGGATCGGTGTAGACCCGGACATTCGATGTGATATTAATTATTGGAATGGCTATCGGAACACCGAAAATTTGTCTATGTATGTAAATAAGTAGGCAAATTCACTGTGATACTTTAAGGGATTTGTGGTATCTGGATCTTAGACTGGTGTCAGTGCGCACTTCTACGCTACTAGGATAACAGACCTGATCTGATATTTTGGACGGATCATATGACAATTCATTTGTGATATATGGCATAGCAGAGGTAAGAATGATCAGTTAGCAAATCCACCATTTCAGCTGAAAATGAATGTAATTCAACGATCAATTATACATTTTCAAGAGTCAGGAAATAACCAGTGAGAGTGAAGTATTGAGACATCAACTTTCAGCAAATAATTCTAGTCCATGGCCAAAATGGTTACCGTTATCTGTTTACCGTGGTTTAATCTACTGTGACATGACCAAAGCGACACCTCCAACTTCTTTCCGAAAAAAAATACTAGACAACTATCGT